TCAATATCCTGTTTTATAATTATGTCCATGTTATTATCAGATTGTTTTATTAGCATATTGCCAAAGAAAAAAAGAAAAATACAGTACTAGCTGGACTATAATTCGCTATTCGGACCTAATGTATATCTTTTGTTAGCGTGCTCAGGGGTTCAGGAAACAGATTTGCACAGTTTTATCAGCTGTTGACGTAGCACACATTCCTGCTTTCCGCGGTGTTTAATTGAATAGTAGATGGAGAAAATACGTGAAATTCAGAGAAATAACTTTTTTTCTATGTGATTAGAGCTATAGTCAGACTTTATGCAGGCCTTGACATTAAGCTTTTTCAGCCGCTTGCCCTTCGGGAAAATACCGGCAGACTTTGTCAAAAGTTACTTTCTCAAATGTTTCTCAATACAAGGAGTTAACAGAAGTTTGGCAATAAGATGGCACTAGTGGTGTGGAAAGAAATATAAAAAAATCCACTCTTAGCCCAAAAAGTCAAATAATGACTCATAAGTATGCAAAATAAAAATCAAGACACCTGTTGTGATGTGTTCTGTTTGATTTGTTCACAACATTTTACTTTTGTGTACACTCATGCATTGTTAGCAAGGTAAAATGTAGGTACCTGAGCTTTAATTTCAGTTTTTGTTGTGCGTCCATGGTTCTGTCTGCACGTCTATGGTCCGCGCTCGGTACCACGTTACGGATGTGCGTTGGCTGTTGTCAAAGTGCTGCGGCTGTCTTCACAAAGCGGCTGCTCGCGGGGTCAGAATGGAGAATGTGAATCCTGTTCGAGTACGCACAGCAAACAGAATGTGCCCGTAGTCACACATTTCATAGAAATTACATTTTCAGCGGAAAAAGTCGGAAATTGGGGATTCGCGGAAAATTTTCATCCCTGCTATGTCTTGATGCATTTCATTGGTCAAAAGAATTGACCAATGAATTTTTAGTTGCCCCGGATAAGTGGACACCCGTTACTGTCAAGCCCTGGTTTATGGCCTTATTATGTTGACTCCATCAATATTTTTTGCATGAACTTTATTGGATTGGAGTTATCGGAGGAAACAATGCGTTAAAACACCTTGTCATTCAATCATGATGTGTTCAGTTCAAACAGTTGAAAATCATCAAAAGGTTTTAATCCATTAGCCGTTGGTTAAGTGTTAAATCACAATTCCAAAGTTCAGCCTATATGTGGACAGAAAAAACATTATTTTAAAATGATGCTGGTGCGGTTTATAAACCGGTGCCCTTAATAGTCCAGGGAGTGCTGTAATTAGAAATATTATCGGCATCTTATTAGAGAATGACTTTATTGTGACATTATTAGCTGTACATAGTAAAGCTTCATTGATAAAACAATTGTGAGCGTATGTAAGAGCCCCTTCCTCTGAACGTTTGACTCTTTATTTCTCGGGTAAGCCTTGCTCGGTGGATCCATGTTACAGGTTCAGTTTACAGCTGGCAAGACATGAGAGAGTTTGTTTTATAATTACACACAGTGCTTACAGAAGTAGACTGGAGCTGAATCCTCCTCCGCTCTGGCCTTGCTGTGTGGGTGGTGCTGTGGTCCGGGGCGCATGTTTTGAGAAGCCACTTTTCTTTATTTCTGTTCGCTCCAGTGGTCCAGCGCTGAGTCAGCTCTGTGCTGCTGGAACATCTGTGTCTTTGGTCATTGTTGAGATCCGCTCGTTGGACGTGAACTTGGTCCTATAGGGATGCGGCTATAGAAACGTAGCTGTGCTAAAATGGTCTCGCAGGCTTTGATCACAAATTCCCACTGAGGAACTAAAGAATGTTTGGACTCCCAGAAGCAGCAGATGGCTTTTGTTTATATTTGTAGTGTCAAAGTAGCAGAAATGGTACATGCGCTCATGAATCCAGATCACCTTTTACACATCGCCTTGCCATCCACTCAAATGTGTCCCTTATTTTTCTTATAGTTTTGTTATACTTTTGTCCTCCAACTTGGGAGTCACTTGAACATTTTGAGCAAAATGTGAACAGGAGTCAGGTGGACAAGCTCACTGCATTTGTATTGCAACATAAAATATTTAAACAATACAGTGTGGTCTTAACATTTTAGAGAGAACTCATCTAGAAATACTATTGTTAACATGCAGCTGGATTGCTTACTGCTATACAGTTATGTACATGCACTACTCATAAAAGTTCTTATCATAAAACCAGGACATATAAGAAGCGAAACTTGAACAATTTCAACGCCTGATGTATCTATTCACCTCCTTGTAGAATGTGCAGTATGTGCGTATGTGGACAAAACATGGGTTTTATTTTATTGGAGCAAGTATGTTTTATGAGTGCATGTTTGACACTACAGCAATTTAGCTAGGGCTAATTCTCTATGTCAGTGCCTTGGAGGGCGGCCAAATATCAGTTCACGAGATTGGTATTCTGTATTGCAACGAAATAAAACATTGTTATTGGCTGCCTTTTTCATACAGAGATTTTATTCGCTCTTTGACTTTTGTGTTCTTAAAAAGAAGCTATTTTGACACCATTGACCCATTTCCAGGGCCTTCCCTGAGTAATGTGTACAGTGGTGTCACTATTGTGTTGGGTGTAAATTGCTAGCTTGGCTCCCCTGTTCCTCTGGCTGCCATGTGCTGCACTGTCAGGCCCCGCTTTGCCATCTGCACTCCCCTTTTTTCACAGACACACGCCGTTATTGCTCCCCTGAGAATTTGAGTCTCTCTGTGCTTTATCTGTGTTTAAACTGCGAACAGACTTTGAAGAGGTCATTTGAGGTTGACTCTGCCCGGCTAGAAAGAACTGAGAGAACATTTAAACTGGTTCCACCACCTCCTTAGTGACCACCTACGCTGACACTTAAAGATCCAATCCAAAATGTGGGTCAGCCCCTGCACTGTGGGAGCTGCAGACTGCTGTGTCTATTAGTGGTGACGCAGAGGACGAAATGACCATTTTAAGCTTACATGGGTTTGTTGACCGACCGCTGTGCTTTTAAAGTATGCATCATGCATAATCGCCTTTTTGTATTCTAGTAATTCTTGTCATTTCTAGTCATTTCTCGACTAGTAAGCGTACCTGTGTGCAACCTTAACTCCACAGCCTCCTCAGATATCTGGCTTGTGAGCCATGAGCCTCTTATATCAGGCTTGTGAGCCATGAGCCCAAACTGCTTTTCCTCCGGTCCCCTTCGAAGCACCGAGGCAATCTGCTCCGAAGTGCCTCATCCAAGTTCCCCCACAGCCGTTCCATGCCTTCATAAAAAACGTCATCACACACGAGCCAATCACAATGGACCTCCTGTGTGGCCGACTGTGTAGTAAGAAAAATCTGAGGGTGCAAGGTAGGGGTGGGAACCTCAGGGTACCTCACGATACGATACGCGATACAAAGCTCACGATAACGATTATATCACAATAACGAATATATCACGATAACAATTATATCACGATATATTGGTCAGAAATATACCATATGCCAATTTATAGCATAAATAAAAGAAAAATGTCAAGTGAAAAAATACACTTTATTTTACGATAAATGGAATGGAGATGTGTAATGTAGTCATATATTAAGTATTGATACTAATTACATTTTTATTATTATTTTTTTTTCAAAATTGATACTTTGGTGAATGCATATCAATAATCGATCACGGGAGAAAGTATCACGATATATTGTCACACTCCTAGTGCAAGGGTGGTAGCGCAAGGGGTCCTTGCGGTCTTGTGGCGATCCTTGCGTCGGTCCCTAAAGGTGACATCACGAGGGCCACCGCAAGTGCAGCACCGCACGAGTATACACAGGCTTCAACTGGGGCAGTTTTTAGCTCCAGTCACGCTAATTTCCATCAATTTATGTTTATTGCAAAACTTGTGGAAGACTATTCTTTACAGTGCACTGAAGCAATTTTGAAAAGGGGTTGAAGTTTAAGTTGGGGTCGGCCACAAATAGGCACAAACACATTGACCCCATTGGACCACGTTTGTCCAAATATTTATTCTTCAAAGTCCGTTTGCTCTAACAAATCCGTGACATCGGGATGGAACCATTTTCTGCCTTCTAAAAGAATAGTTTTCCTCTGAATCAGTCATGTTCTGTATAACTGCATGCATGCCTGCGTATTGGATATAAATCTTAATCTACCAGAAATGTTATACTAGGGCTGGGCGATAAAACAATAACGATATATATCGCGATAGACATGTGTTTGATATCAATAGAGAATGGGGTCGATAGAATGTTCGATAGTTTAACTTAACTCCGTCAGGAAAAACAGGAAGAAAACACCGGAAGTAAAGCCGACTCATAAGCGCATGGCATTGTGGGGGATGTAGGCAGAGGCTTCTCGACCAATAACAGCCGAGCAGGAACCGCAAAACTTTCTGGGAAATGCAAAAACACCAACAACCGCACCATGCGTAGCGTCCATGGATCTATAGCTCGTGTTTCAATGCCGTGTCAATGGTTATGCACGTACGTGCGCGGAATAACATGTGCGGCGGCAGAGGCAGAGGACAGACCCGATGTATTCGGCGAAAGCAAGAGATTAACTTTTTCCTCGGGAAGCATGTGCGGGACAGAGAGCCGCACGGAGCGGTCACGGGGACACAAGACCCTTGAACAGCTAAACCAGGAGCAAAACCAGGAATAAAAAACCAGGATTAAACCAGGACTAACAACGAGGGACACAGTGTGAACATATTCCTCCAGCCTCATCGCCCCGTGACTGTAAACAAGGCTGCTAAGGTTGGTTAGCCCACACGACAATATATATCGTTATTGACCGATATGAATGACTTATATCGTGATATAGTTTTCAGCCATATTGCCCAGCCCTATGTTATACAATTTTTTAAAAAGATTGTACCTAGAGGAATATAACGAATTTTCAAAACGGAGGTTTGTTTTTGCAAAATGTGTCCTGTGTGTCTATATGGGTTTTTACTGCTGCAGTAAAACATGAAAAAAGGAGCTGAATATGGCTTGTTTCCTAAAACCAAATATTTTTGTCTTTTCAGGAAACTGAGATTTCTGCAGAATGCAACCATGTAAGTTTCTGCACCACATTTACAATTCAACCGTGTCAGTGTAGTAGAAATGCATCTGTTTTATTTATAAGCTTTTCTCTTGGTTTTTTTCCTGCAGTTGTTGTGGAATTACAAGCTGAACCTGACCACTGACCCCAAGTTTGAGTCTGTCGCTGTTGAAGTCTGCAAGAGCACCATCGCTGACGTGAGTTTCAGAATATCTTGCTCACCAAAACATATCTCACATTATGAACATACTTTTTACCAAATGCATTTCAGATCAAAGAGTGCGCGTCGGAGGAGCTGGGGAAGGGTTACCTGGTCTCCTGTTTGGTGGATCACCGCGGCAACATCAGCGACTACCAGTGCAATCAGTACATCCACAAAATGACCAGCATCGTGTTCAGCGACTACCGGCTGATCTGCGGCTTCATGGACAAGTGCAAAGAGGACATCAACGCCCTCCACTGCGGCTCCATCAGCACCGGCGAGAAGGTGAGGCCTCGGCAGCATCCAAATCCACAGAATCCACAGTATAAGTGGAAATTAGCAACAGGTTTTTTCACACTTAATCAACAGCTGATGGAGCAAAACAAAGCTGATAGAAGACACAGCATGATTGAATAACAAGGTGTTGATCCAACCTCTGTATAGTTCAGAGATAACAGTGTTTCTGAGGAGGCAAACTTTAACAATTTTTACCGCTTTCAGGACTAATTTACCAATCTCCATCCAGACTAACTAGACTATTCAACTGTTGAATTGATTAAATTTGTTCAATACTAACTGTTTCACATATTGTAATAAGCTTAAGAGATGTCCTGTTCTATTCTATCTAGCTGGGAAATATCCTAAACAGAATAGAGTAGTTGGATCTTACTGGATAGGGGATGTTTAGGAGGGTAGTAAGCAGTAGGTTTATATTGTAATCACAGTTGTCATTTAGAATGGACTTTTTATTGTGCCTTACCTTATGGTCAAATGAGATTTAACTCCACTTAAGAGAAATTGAATGCCACAAAGGTCAATAAAAAAGATGGAAAGAAGGACATTAAAGGAGAGAGAAGAAAGTCAGTTGAAGGCAAACATAGAGGGCATTTTGGGTTGACCAAAAGACGTTTTCCAGTCACTTGCACTTACTGCCAGGGCAACGAATTTTGACAGATGAGAAATTGCTTTGTTATTATCATTATTGCAATTAACAATCTGATCTGTTGGTGAGGAATCAAAAACTTTTCAATGTCCTCTGAGACGGCTATTAGGGCTATTGAAGTGAATTGAATTGAAAAAGGAAGCACTTGTATAATGTATCCTTCCGTCCACTTATGAAGGAACATTTACAGACAATAATTATTGAGGCTCAAAGTATATTGTTTTTTCTATCAGTCCTTAAACAAAAAGGCGATATAGTCATTGAATCCATCAAATAATTCTAAGGCAACTTTAAATGACTTAAAAAATGGCACACTGTCGTCACTATGGACAAGTGTTGCATACGGTTTTTGGTTGAGCTCCTAAAATACATATACGGTTTAGTGATCTTTCATTGATTAATATTCATCTGCTCATTTCCTCCACGTTTAATGTGCAGCATTGCTCGAGCTGTCTCATTAAAGCCGCTGCCTCCAAAGCGGTCATGCACGGCTTCATCTAATAACTCCGGTAACACATGTCCTCATTATAAAATGCCTCGGCCGGCTTCATGGAGACTTGTAGCAGCAGCCACGATTTCGAATGAGCGACCCTGGCATCTGCTGAAAATAACGACAATCATGGGCTATGGACAGCCTGCTTTTAAGCTGGGGAACGTTACAAACTTTACCGTAATGCTTTCAGTTGCTATTTTTGCAGTCCACAAAAAAGTGTAAGCTCACTTGATAATAAAATACAGACCGAAAGAAAAAAATTATATATTTTTTAATAACAATTGAAAGAAAAAGTGGAATATTTGAATAATGAAGCAACATTTTGAGGCTCTTCAACTGAAAGTACTTGGTAATGGGAGGGTAAAATATATTTGCAGTTTAATATGTCAATATCCCTCTCTGGTGTTGGAGAGAAAATGTACTCTGTAGATGAATAGAACGTAGTTGAATGCCACCCGGAGGTTTTCATGTTGTAAAGTACATTTAACCGAGACGACACAAAAAGCTCAGACGACGCTAACGTTTCATATTTGCTGGGCTCACAAAAATCTTGGTATTTCATCCCGCAAGAGGCGAGCCTAACCCTTACCTTATCTACATTCATTTACACTTACATTGCCTGCTCCGAACCTTAATCTATATTTAAATGTGTGTTTTAAGAGTCTCAAATGGGACCTATTCCTTCGGGTAGAGACGAAATACCAAGATTCTTGTCGGCTTGCCTTAACTGTTAGCGTCCATGTCGGCAGTGAATGTAGTTCCAATGTTTTTCTGATCTGGATATATTTTCCCAAACAGAATAGGTCCATAAACGCTCGAATGCCTCTGGGTTTTCTTCCATATGTGTGACTGAAATCCAGTTGGAGGGAGTTCAGTGTTTGTTTACAACAGGCACTGCGGCGGCCTTTTACGCTCCCCGGGTTAATTTTGACAGTTTCTATTGAATCTTTTGTTTTCAAAGAGCTATTTAGAGTCTGCATGAGAAAAGGAAGCTAATGAGACGTAAACAAAGTTGGAGTTTATAAAAGTTATACATTTATCTTCCTCCAAAGAAAAACAGGATTATCAGAAAGTGTAATCTTTTTGTTATTGGTTTAAAATTATTTAGGTTTGATTTAGTTATTTTTGTGTGCCCTTCAGTAGAGTTAAAATGTTGTGTGTGTATGATGAGAGAAAGGTTGTGTTGTACAACGTAAAGCAGGAAGTAGCACGTCAATCAAGTCTCTAAGTTTCAAACGGTCAACTCGGAACGCTCATTCTGTTGATGAAGCGATCTTAAATTCCAAAAGCTTTCCTTGTGACTTTTTTATTACCATGGAAGTAAACTCAAAGAAGGGTGGCGACGGCCTATCGGCTCCAAATCAAATCAATGTGCTTTTAAATGCGTCTTCGAGTTCTGCAGAGCACAGATGAAGCCTGTGAGCCTATTAGACATGCATTTATAATAAGATCTCGCATCGGCACGAGGAGAGCTCACTATTTATTTGATTAAAAAAATAGTTTCATTATCAGGAATTGGTCACAGTGACATGTTCAGGGAGTCAGGGCTGCTGAAGTGCAGATTAGAATGATCATGTTGTGGCTAATTTTAACCCAGAGCGAGATAGAAAGTGTTGGACCTGACCACACACAACGGCCTCTGCGAAATGAGAGGAGGTGTAGAGCTCAATGCAAAGTTTAAAAACTATGTTAGTGCTGTCCATGTGAATGAAGGTATGTATGGAGGAGCTGGAGTCCAAATTGGATTAGCATGTCGCACAATTGACGTTCTTATCTGAGTTGCCCTTGTGTGAATGTATTTTCTGTATTTGTAATTGGCAGCCATGTTTCTCCCTGTCAATCCCATGGCATCGTTGACACATTAACAAATTGTCGGAAATGAAAAGCATAGTGTCTATAGCTTGTCCCAATTTTACGCTTTGGGCCGAGAGCTGATTGACTGAGTGAGAATATTACTCTTTCATTTTACAGGTGAAAATATACATGCATGTGAAAACTAGTGATAGAATCAAATTGTTTTGAGAGCGAGGAACTGTAGACAGATTAGATTGTATAATCATTATTTGTGGTTTTGAAAGTAAGATACCCCGGCTTTAATACTGCCAAAACAAGTGATCGTTTACGGTAGAAGAGACGATGCTTGATAGAGACGCTGTATTCTTCCACCGTCTTCTGAGCAGCTAAACTATGTCAGTTTGTGACTTTGCCAAGTCTTATGATCCCTTATTTATCTAAGTAACTATCAAATGGAAGAGAACTATGTGCAATGATAACGCCAAAGACCTAAAGCAAGTTTAGTATAAATAAACTTTGCGAGCCACGCCTTCTTTTCGAATTTTTTTGTTTGAGATCTGCTGTCATCCCAAACGTCATCCCAAATGGACGATAAACTACCATGGCATGCAATTTTAAGAAGACATCATTCCTTTTACTGTAAACAATTAATAATATTATACATATTCTATACATAGTCTATAATATGTATGAATATTACATATCGGCCAGTCACACTTGTGCAAATCTTCTGGACCCGTGTAAAATAATCTTCCTCGAGTGTGTACATTAAGCATAACCATTACTTCTTCACATTTCCATGCACTGAACTGACTGTTCTGCCACAGGACGTCCACTCCCAGGGGGAGGTGATCGCCTGCCTGGAGAAGGGTCTGATTCGGGAGGCGGAGGAGCAGCCCGGAGCCCGCGTTATAAAGGACGAGTGTAAGAAGGCCATCATGAGAGTGGCAGAGCTGTCATCAGACGACTTCCACCTGGACCGCTACCTGTACTTCTCCTGTCGGGACGACCGCGAGCGCTTCTGCGAGAATGTAAGGAGATCGTTGCGATGCTGTCACATTATGTTGTGTGCGGAAACTCAAATTGATCGATATAGGGTCTACTAAAAGCGTTCACATTTAATATTACATAACAGTAAATACTCCACAAATTGCGCTCTTTGTGATAATTTTAGCATATAATTTAACCCAGCACAAAAGGGTATGTAATGTGTACTTTTGATAGTCTCATGAAATCATTAAAATTACAATCACACTTCTGTTGCCAGAATCTTCCTCCTGTGACACATGTAGCTTGTCAGCGCTGACTACTGATGGGATCCTCCTGCTGGGGTTTAACTAGAAATGATACAAACTGCACATTACATGACAAGTGAAATATGTACCTGGTCTCATTTAAATGTGTGCTGTGCCATTTTGTGTTTGTTTTTACAAAAGATAAAACCTGCAAAATAAAATTAGGAATAACTACACTTTATATTGTTCAGAAAAGTCAAACATGATTTGTGCATGTCACGCATATCAAAGATTTAGATGTATTTTAAGAAGACAATATTACACTCTGTCCCTATTATGTCAAATTCAGCCCTGATTAAAGCTGAGGTCCCCAATGTTTTCAATGTTTGTCTGAACAGAAAGAAAAAGTAAAATGTTGTGAATGAAACCACAGCATGTTGTCTTTATCTTTTTAGAATGACATACTTTGTCCCGTGAGTCACTATTTGTGCTGCAAGCTCTATTGACTAAGTAGATTTAATAAAATCATACACAAATAGATGAGTTTGAAGATTAGCTAAGTAACCAAACTGAGAGAACATGGAACTAGTTTGACAAAAACTATTTGTGGTTTGTGTCAAAGTGAGGTTCTCCAGCGTTATCAGATGGTGTCAAAGGAACTTTTTTCCCGCTTGCATGTGTAAGAGGAGATAACCTTTATTCGTCCTTCAGTGAGGACATTTATGTCTCCCTTGTGCAGATTACAGGAGAAATAACAGCACCCCGGTTATGCACACACCTAGCAAGATATATAATTTAAACTAATTGATAATAATTAAATAATAAAGTAAACAAACGATAAACTCTCGCTGTAACTGCACTTGTAGAATAGACTATAGTTAGCAGTCAGGACGGTTCACATTTACAGATCGCTATAACTGTACAATATGTACAATGTAATCTGCTCTGTTGGCGACAGGTGAAATCTCGTGCCGTGGAACTACAGTTATATAAAGCTCACATGGTAGAGGCAAGCACGTAGCACTTTATAATTTACGCAAAACGTTTTTTGTACTGTTGTAAACAGAAAAACATTGTCAGTCTATGATACATGCATTGTAGCTAGCAGTTGTCTAATTTGAACCTTACATACATTGTATCTTTTAATTATCTAACCTGAACCTTTTTTATTCTACTTTCAGACATTGGCAGGAGAAGGACGAGTTTACAAATGCTTGTTTAACCATAAGTTTGAAGAGGCGATGACTGAGAGGGTAAGTGCCTTTATCTTAAGTAAAAAATAAAATCTATATTGGCCCCGAATCCCAGGTCAGGAAGAGTGATCAAAATGATCACTTATTTGTTTGGTGAGAGTCATGATCCCAAGTCATTTCTATGGCTGTATGTAACTTTGTCTTCCACATGCTCCTATTCAGCAGCATTTAATTGAATTGAATTACAATCATTATAATATTGTTTTATTATGATTGTATTAATCTGAATAAAGAATGAAACATTTGTTTTGATAGCATGGCAACAAAACATTCTCCAAATTCTAGTTCAATTAAGAGATCCTTTTATTGGTTCCAAAGTGGTGACTTCAGTGTTGCATCACCAATTACAGAACAGTAGGAATGAGGAGCACATAAGATAAATAAACAACATAAAGTCTATACTAAAATTAAATTGTATACATTCTCTAACTCTCTAGCATAATAAGGAAGCAAGTATAAAATCCCTAGCTTTAGCGTAGTAAGAAAGTTAAATTCTGCATTTTTAGCATAACTAAGAGGCTAGAATTAAGTGGAAAATCTCTGACTTTAGCGTAATAAGTAGTATGCATAAAATCTCTAAAGTGGAGTTTCTTATGCAGTGCCGAGAGGCGCTGACCACCCGACAGAAGCTGATCGCTCAGGACTACAAAGTGAGCTATTCTCTGGCCAAATCCTGCAAGTCTGACCTGAGGAAGTACCGCTGCAGCGTGGACACCAACATGCCCCGAGCCCGAGAGGCGCGTCTCTCCTACCTGCTGCTGTGCCTGGAGTCTGCCGTGCACAGAGGTGAGTGACGGCTGATGGAGATTTAGTATTTTAACTCCTTCTATCTTAGAGAAAGCTATACTTTAGAGATGTTTAGAAATGTTTTAGAAATATTTCATTATGCCTTTTTCTTCTCTACTTTTGACTTGATTGCACCGAGAGCCAAGGCAATTTCCTAGTCTGTGCCTTCCTGTTGCTTACATGGCAATAAAAATGGTTCTGATTCTGGGTATTGTAGACTGCTGAGCTGCATGTTTACTTTGACTTATTGCATTTTTGGTTCAATGGTCATGATATAATAAATGGCATGGTTTTGAATTCATAATTATCTTTATAATGATTAACATATAGTGGGCTGCATATTTGAGACCACTGGCTTATAGCTTAACGCTTTAGTGGAGGGCAGTTGAAAAATCTTGGTAATTGACAGAGGTCAGATAGCTTTTCTTAGTTTACAACAAACAGTAATTGCAACTGTTACTTTCACAAAGTTCTACATCAGCACATACACAATGGGTTAATTATTTTCTCATAATGGTGTCTAGAAGTGTTGACAAACCATACACACGATGCTGTTCTAAAGAAAGGACTTTCAGACATAATAATACTGCGGCTTGTGGTTTGTGAATCCAATTACTATCATATAATGATCTGGGAAAACACTTTTCTTTTTCCAATAGAGTTCTATCGGCACCTGCCCTCCAACTGAAATGGAGTTCTACAACATGAACGCAACCTATTGAACCTTGATTAAAAAGGCTGCTTCTGTCTCTGTCTAATGCCTTGATGCTATTCTGAGTTCATCTGACAACCGGCCACTCCATTAGTCCCCTATCTGTCCCACACTGGTCTGTTAACGCTTTGATTTATGCAGTCCACGCAGGATAAACTATTGGACTTGGCATAATGTGGCTAAGACTGACGTGCCAGGGCCATGTCAGTACAATTTGGAGTAATGTGTATTGTCTTCAAAGGTGCTGTTTGTGTGCAGTTGCAGATAGGAGGCCTAGTATCATAGAAAACTGTTGAAATAATAATAGACTAGTTGCGTTGGTGGTATAGCAAGCCTTTGGAATGCTCTTTCCATGTCTGGGTGGGTTTCCTCTCAGTTGCATTGTCGAGGTGGCTGAGTGGGCAGTGCTCATGCCTCTCAACAAGAAGGGTGTGAGTTAAATTCTGTGCCAAACAGAGCCTTTCTGTGTGCAGTTTGTATATTTCTCTAAAAATCAAATGCTAAAAGACACATGGTGTTGCGTGATTGCTTTTGCCAACTCTGTGCTGTGTGTGTCTGTCAGAGTAATTGAAGATAAAATGCTAGTTAGATAATGCAGTGAAAGTTTGGGTGCAGACACAAAGTTTCAAGACTCATTTGAAAGCGTCAGTTGACCAGAGCTTCTTCACCAGAGGTGTTTGGACTGATTTTGGGCTGTAAATGAACTATAACAGAGCTGAATGACAAATGTTGACAATCTCACCAGCTATATTAGTGCCAGAGATGGATTTTGTGACACATTCTCACAATCACAAACAAATACCAGGTAATACAAAGAATTGTCTAAATTCTAGAGGTTCTGAGCTTAGCAAGGTACAACATGTCTATATTGGCTGAGCTGAAGTTGGCTGAATGACACTGTGAACTTGTTTATGATCTCAAAGACTACTTATGTCATGTGGCCCTCTGCCTTGCTAACCTGAGACATAGCTCGCAGGCCTTAGTTTGGTCATGCCAGTTCATAGAATATAGTCCATTTTACTTTACTTACTTACTTGGGCGGCACGGTGGCTGAGTGGATAGCACTCTCGCCTCTGAGCAAGAAGGTCCTGGGTTCGACCTTCTTGCTGAGAGTTTGCATGTTCTTCCCGTGTCTGCTCCGGTTTCCTCCGGGTGCTCCGGTTTCCCCTACCACTAAAAATATGTACAATAGGTCTGGCATGCGCCTCCTGTACTGGCACCCCAACTCCCAAAAATAGCAATTGTAAACCGCTTTGAGACTCCGATGTGCAGTGAAAAGGCGGTATATAAATAAAGATTACTTACTACTTACTTACTACTTTTTTCTTTCTTTTTAACCTTGTTTGTTTTCTTGTGCTTTGTAAACATAATCTTTGTCAGCATCTTTTTTCTTCAAGACGCTAGCCCAACTAGAATACACAAATTCCACCCTGGCTCTACACCTCTGACCTGTTTTATAGATCTGTTTGTGTGCGCGTGTGTGTGTGTCTGTGTGCGTAGGTCGTGTGGTCAGCGGCGAGTGCCAGGGGGAGATGATGGACTACCGCAGGATGCTGATGGAGGACTTCTCCTTAAGTCCAGAGATCGTGCTCCACTGCCGCAGTGAGATCGAGAGCCACTGCTCGGGCCTGCACCGCAAAGGCCGCACCCTGCACTGCCTCATGAAGGCGGGCCGCGGGGACATCGCAGCCATCGACGCCAACTGCCAAAGAGCGGTGAGCACACACATTATCACAGATGGAGTTGTTTAGTTGTGTTTTTGAGCAATTTGTTTATGAATCCAAAATTAAGTGTATACTATGAGCTGATACCACAGATGTAGGTTGATCTTTTGAGAATCGGAAGAATTTGAATGGCATCCTGTCCATGAAGACCTTATCACATTTTGACTTGATTTGTGAACTGGAGTGGATGAAAATGCTGTATTAGGGAATGAGCAATTTGTTTTTGTTTTTGTTTGCCATCCTTCAATTATTTATATATTTAAACATTTTTTATGTTGGATCAAAAATCATTTGCCAAACTTACCAACAAACAATGCTAACAATTAACAGTTTATATTTGAGGCACTTATAAGCCAATGGATTGTCAATGAACATTGTGAGGCTGAATTTATAAAAGTGAGGATTGCTTGAGTTTTCACCAACTGCTGAATTCTCAATGAAAAATTATATAGGTCTTGTATATTAGCAGAGCTGAAGTTGGCTGGATGACATAGCTCTGCTATGGGCAGGTGTTAGTATGATCTGTTTCTGACTTTTTATAGGATCGGAACATTCTCAGCTTCACAATGAGGTGTAACTTATTTATATTAGCTCAGGTAAACTTTGATCACATTTGTTGTTGAGATGTTACAGTAACGTCCATTGATTCAAAAAGGATTTGCGCACGAATTCCCTAGACATACAACTTATTTTGATTGATGGAAAGTTCCCCAGCTTAGACGGCAATCAAACTGTAGTAGCAGGTAGTGTTCTGAAACCTAGTGTGTGTTGAATACCAAGGGGTCCTCAAAACTTTGACTTTAGCTGTGATAAAACAAACTAATATTCTGGTTTGTGTAATTGTAGCAATGATGGTGACTTTGAGGCAGTATGGGCAGTAGTAGTATAAGTTATTCTCCCCAACTGTTGGAGCCGTGAGTCAGCTTTACCCTTCGCTGTCAGGTGGAGCCAGGGGCAATCGATACTCCAGAAAAACTGAGATTTCAGTCCTGACAGGGGGCAGCAAGGCAAGATACACTGACAGCATAGCAAAACAGTTGTGCTTTGAACCTAAAACCGTTGGATGATTGGTTCTTACCCATTTTAATATTAATGACGTGCGTGTCTTTTGTACCACCAATACTGAAACTCGTGTGTTCCATAAAAATATTTTGGGATAGTTTATTCTCTCTCTTTTCTGTTTGCCTGTTTGAAACTGTATTTTCAAATAAAATAAAAAATCTTTTGAAGCCCCCACCAGAGCAACAATGGCTAGTTGCATATTAAATTTTTTTGTGGGTAGAAACATTGCTTTTATTCTGAAAACGCGGTGCATTTTGTGATTCACTGCAGCTTTGTTGAAACAAGTCTAATTTTGCCCACGCAGTCTCATAAAGCCAAGCATCACATCTCATTGAATTTATCCGCTAAATGTTAAACTACTGGATATTATAAGATGCTATATATCTTATACTATACCTGCCTGGCATCCATTCAAAAGTATAATCTATATTCTGTGATTTGATAAAGGACACAGCAGCAAATTGGCTTAGTTTTGCCCTTTTCTGTCCACACATTTGGCACATCACTTTTATCCCAGGCTTTATAGATCTACCTCTGTCATACTCTTGAGTGACTGGACTGAATTAAGCGGGCAATACAAAGCTAAAGTGGACATGAATTGTGATGATGAAATGAAGGGTCATTTCGGCCAAAGCTCAGAAAACAGGATATTAATTTTAGACCATATCTCTCACCCAGAATTTCTGGTTTTAAAAACGTATGTTGATCTGGTTGGTTTCACAGTCAGCAGTTGTGCAGCATAGAGACAACAGATCCGTAGTCACAGATGGTCGGGTGCACTGAACCATCTGCAGGGCGGTTTCAAAGGCCAGGTGATACACAGCCATAGAAACTCTAACTAAGGTTTCTCTTGCAAATGGCCTTGTATTCTAAACACTAGTATTCTCATTCGATATGTCAGAGTGCCATCCCTCTGTTGTGATGATCTTTTATAAACTACAATCTTAATCAATCCGGCGATGTTTATTTGAGAACATGTACAAACACAACTTCACAGAACAAAATAACACCCAGATATGTTTTGAAAAGGGGCTGGACAAGAAGATAAACCAGGTGTCTCTAACCTTTTTCACCTGGAGAGCTACTTTCCCGGGGCAATAAATGCAGAGAGCTACTCCTTTAAGCGGCCCTGGTGAAAAAAAATTGTGATATTTTAGTGTGAACAAGCCTGGTAATGGGTACAGTCATTTTAGTTATACTTGCATATATTTTACGAATGCAAAAAGTAAGTGCATTTCCATAATACATCATGAATAATACAATCTGAAATATGAAGTATTATTTGATTTAATTTCTGAATCCTTTGGCGAGCTACTGGTGGCTCCCAAGACCCCTTTTATGAACCTTCAAAAATTCAACCACATTGTCACAAAAACAGCACTCTTGTACCATACAAAATATTGTATTGAGATTTCGTTCTAGATGACACACACCTGCTCACAATCACACACACACATACAATACACAGGCCCAAACCTTCTCTGACCCTACCCCTCTCCCACTCCTCACTCTGTGCTGAAAACCACTCTCTGTCCTCCACATACTTCAAACCTGATTTATACTTCAGGGGTGGGATTAAATACGTTTTTACGTTCTTCCCACTCCCTTTCGTACATGAAACAAGACAATGTATTATTATGACGATTATTACGATTATTTTATTTACATATACTACTATATTAACTGAACATTATTACTATTCATTTTGGTGCTTCTGTTGTGTACTTATATATACAATTTGTCTAACTATCTTGTTCAGTCTTGTAACTTGGCATGTACGAAATGAAAATAATAAACACAAGGAATGTGACGATAGAAAACATATTGGTATTGGTCCATAAGAGGCAGATGACCAATGTCTATAAATGTTGATAAATGTCCAGTGTTTTTCAAGTGTACGACCGGTGTTTAGACTAAACCTTACCCATTCACTTCTTTTTATACAAAGCTGTGACTATATGAGGACTGACGTGAACAGTTCAGTACACACAGAAGTTTGTATCCTTAAATATGCAGAGGAATGGAAACTTCTTTACACTGCAGTGAGGGCTGGGAATCAGTTCTTCCAAGATTTGATAGAAATATAAAATTAGTTACTTTTAGCCCTGATGCTAACATGTTCAGCAGTGCCATCACTCATGTGAACCCACAGACCTAATCAATATTCTTGCACTAATACACAGATTAGTATACAGATTTATACTTCAGTTAATTCTTTATTACTTTGTTGCACTAGAGCAGGGGTTCCCAAAGTGGGGGTCCCAACCCCCCGGGGGGTCGCGGGAACCCCTGGGGGGGGTCGCAAGATGATTTCCAAAAAAAACGTTTCTTTTTTCCCAGTCATTGACAGCGTCAATCAAAATCAGGTTACGCAGCTTATCACGCAGCGACAAAGTGTGTCCTGCTGTTGTTTGCTGAAGCTAAAGGTGTTTGGAGGCTACAAACAAACAATATCAGCTTTAAAATGAAACGTGGTGAAAATCCACTACAGAAAAACCCGAAGGAGGAGAAAAGTCACTTGTGTCAGAGGTCAGGCTGGTGGTGCGAAGGGAGAGAAGGCAGCGTAGAATACCGCGGGAAATGAGGCCCGGCTTATCGGAGTCAGAGGTAAAGAGGTCCGCACATTAAAAGCGGGTGCCCGCTTTATGCTGCTACTTTCGGTGACGTTGGAAAGAAAAGCCGCAGGAATGAGCCACCACAATGTACTTTTTACTGTAAGTAGCAGCATAAAGCGGCCACCCGCTTTTAATATGCTGACCTCCTTATCGCTGACTCCGAAAAGCCGGGTCTCTTTACCGCGGTAGGAGGAACAGTGAGGGCGAGCCGCAAGAAATCCACCCCACCTCTGCTAAGGGGGGAGCCCACCAAGCCCATCACTGTGTCACTACGCGAATAAAAATACGCAAGGCTCTTATTTTGGGCTGGACAGTACAGCTCGGTAGTGGCGTGAGTCTCTATAAAGCGTCACTCCGAATCAAAGAAATACGTGCTCATTTCATGTGACGGGAAAGGCTCTGGAGGTGGGGGGTCGCGGGGGAGCAGCGCATTTATCATGGGGGTCGCGGGCTAAAAACTTTGGGATCCCCTGCACTAGAGTATAATAAGATTTTATTATTTTTATTATTTTTCCAGCCATACTTAATATTCATACTGTTCTGTAACCTGCGATGCAACACTGAATTTCCCCACTGTGGGACAAATATAGGATGTCTTATTTCATGACTTAGCGTGAATATTCGTCACGCATTAATGTTAAAATAATCTGCTGTTTTTTTTATACTTTTGTTTGAGAACAACATTTATTTGACAAGAGATTTCTTTTCTGTGTTGAGTTTTCTGTATCCAATAAAAAAAAAAAAAAACATATTTTATGACCAACTTTGTAATAACAACAGCCCAATCTGCTTGTACAGTTTTCAGGATATGATGATTATAGAAAAAAATATATGTAAAGGATGCTTTAATCTATGAGCCATCAAACTAGCGCTGCTCTGCAAGCAACCTGGGTCTCTGTGCTACTACTGCATGACGTTTTATCTTTTTGTCAGTGATTGTATGATTCTATTTTTTTTATGTTTCTGTTTGTCCTTTTCCCCACAGCTGCAGACCCTGCTCCAGGAGGCCGACCCGGGGGCAGACTACCGGATCGACAGAGCTCTGAACGAAGCGTGCGAGTCAGTCATCCAGACTGCGTGCAAACACATCCGCAACGGAGACCCCATGTGAGCCTCCCCTCTTCCCTCTTGTCACACCTCTCCTCTCTCCTCTCCCCTCCCCCTTCTACTCTTGCCTCTCCCCCTCACCGCCCCCAGAGCTGTGCGTGTGGATGTAAGCATCATGTTGTTGTTGCAGGATCCTGTCGTGTCTCATGGAGCACCTCTACACAGAGAAGATGGTGGAGGACTGTGAGCACCGGCTGCTCGAGCTCCAATACTTCATCGCCAGAGACTGGAAGTATGTTTCCTGCACATTACATCACTTTTACTTTGAGAAGTGTGTAGAAAATTTAAATAAAATTAGTATTATTATTATGTTAGTTTTAAGTTAATGTTGATTACAGTACTTCCTTGACTATATAGTTTGCCTGTATACAAGCCACACCAGCTGTATTTGAGAAGAAAGTACCCTACATTTGGCGTCCACGTATTGGCTACGCTGGAAAATAAGCCACACTTTTTCATGTTAACAATAATGGAGCAAAACAAAGCTCTCAACGGCTCAATGCAAATGTTATGTGAGTGAGTATGATAAGGAAATCCATCCGTTACATTTGGAAGTTGTCTTTAACATGACTCACACTTCATACAACCTCAATGCAGAGTTGGTCAGAGCGGAACTAGACTAACTAGATTCCGGGAGCGGGGAGCAGACCACCTCAGAAATGTTGCGCAGTGCACCTTTAACAACTAGACTTAATATGAGCTCATGCACATAAATGTCTTCTCTTGGGATTACCACGGTGTTCATGGGAAGAGGTAGATTTGAACATAAGCTAGCTTGAGCCAATTTCATTATGAGCACTTATTCTGTGAGCTTGTCGCCACAACACGTGTTGCTAAGACTTGCTAAGGCAAACTTCCCTTGTAAATGAAGGCATCTGTTTGTAAATTCTAATAAGTCATATAAGGATTAACCAAATACAATATGAACACCAGGATCATAGAGAGCGTTAAACCATATTGTTACACTCGACATTTTACGGGTACCGAGCTAGAGGAGTTTTCTTTTCAATGTTTGTCAATAGGAGCCATAGCAACTTGGGGCAAACCTTGAGCACTTCCCTATTGGGCTTTATGGAGCTAGCAGGTTAGCATTGTCCATCGATATACATTCTGCGGTACTAAACAATATTTCTGTTTTGCGTTGTCCTTTCTGCACAGACTCGACCCCATCCTGTACAAGAAATGCCAGGGCGATGCGTCCCGCCTGTGTCACACTCACGGCTGGAACGAGACCAGCGAGATGATGCCTCCTGGAGCCATTTTCTCCTGCCTGTACAGACACGCCTACCGCTCGGTGGAACAGGGCCGCAGGGTGAGCCCCAGAGAGCCAGACACTCAAACGCCACCAGACGCATCCATAGTTGTAGAGTCAATACGTCTGCAATAACTGTAGTGTTGTCCTTCTATTTGTTAACATTGTGTCTTACTGCAGTGATAGCAGCGAGGTTCAAGACAGATGGTCATTAGCATTTTGTTATGTCAAACTAATACATGCATCATTTTCCTCATTTCATAATCCTCGTTTACCATGCCTTATGCACATGCAACTGTTCGCACTCACGCAAAACTCATCTGTGCACTGTAAAAAAAAAAGTCCCCCACGAGGCAATGTGAAAGTTTAATTATATTTGTTGAATAAGGTCTAAACAATCTATATGGTACAATGGGGAGTTTCTCAAGATACAATCGTTCGAAAAAGCTCTGAGCATTGTGCACCAACAATGGCTGTGTTCCTTTTGTGCACTCAGAACCTCCTCTCTGACTGGAGGAAACGCACACAACAAACTAAATGCTGTTATTTCCTGTTATCACATAAACTGTACTTTCTCGTTTGCTTTATATGAAAGCACACTTTGTCCCCCCCCCCTGCAAAACACTCGCTTTGACTGACGGTGTAGACGGTATAGATGTTGTGTATGAGACTGAGGGTGGCTGCATTAGTGGTTCTGACCTGCTCCTGTCTCAGCAGCACAGTGGGGAGGTGAAGGACCGCCAGGGCTGGTTTGTAAGTACACTCTGCTCCTCTCCACGACGGAGGTGATAATTGCAGGAATAGGGCGCAATGACACTACAATCCCACTGTGATTAGGCCATCGGGTGCCAACGCTGATTCTGACAGTAATTTCCGATAAAGGCTCTTTCATACTCCAGCTAGGTATGTAATTAGGTCAACCCTGTATGTCATGGACGGAATGATAGAGGCAATAGCGAGTTTTCCTTCAATAGCCGGAATGTGAAGAAAACCTATCCACAGCAAACACGGTGATGCCCGGGAGATGGGGCGACACAAGGGGGGGAACCAGGAGAACTACATGTGGGGGAAAAAGGGCAGATCCTTGGGCTCCACGATGGGAGATGTAAGCCAAGAGCCGGGTGACGAACACATTTGCGCACATGGACAGAAGCCTCCATGTCTATCCGTATGTGTCTGGTGTGTGGAGTATGAATGAGCCTTAAAAGGTTATGAATAGAAAGAACGCATAATGGGTTCATCAATGCCATTCAATAAGGTTACTTTTATAAACTTGGATTTCTTGTTTGTGTTCTTACTTTTTTTTCCTACATCCATTGGACAATTAGATAGGCTTAGAGAAGGATTAATTTACTATGAAAATATGAAACATTATGTATGGGTAGATCCTGCCAATGATAATTGTCCTGCTGCAGATTAACTTCACATAATAATACAAATTATAGACTGCCTTTTTCTTTATTGAAAATGAAAATATGTTATAACACATTGATAATAAGCAAATTGTAATGATTACAGTCTATGGCTGGGACTGATTTATTATTGGGTAATATATAGGAAATGGTTAGAAAAAGCTAATTGTTGATGGGCATTAAACCTGGGGTACCTGACTTTCATACCATACAATCATCATGTCATAAAACTCAAAACAATCACCAAATCAACTCTCAGCCCCATGGTAAGATTTGTTGACCGCTTTGTACTTTGACAAGACTATTTCTGTTGAGACAATTTTGGAATTAATTATAAAAAAAATATATAATGAAGTACTCCACCTTTTCAACTTCTGTTAATCCATCTAATGTTTATTCCAAATTGCATGTGGACAGGTTTTTCTGGTATGATTACAAAATCCTGAATCTCCACCAGTGGTTTATCTAATCACAACAGTGCATGCGTTCCGAGACTTTCCAATCACTCCTCTCTGCTTCATTCTAACTCCTAAACCGTTTCTTCTTCCTGGCAGCTCTCCCGGGACTGTAAGGTGGAGGTGCAGAGGATTCTCCACCAGAGGGCGCTGGATGTGAAGCTGGACCCGGAGCTGCAGAAGCGCTGTATGACCGACCTGGGGAAGTGGTGCAGTGAGAAGACGGACGCAGGACAAGAGGTGGAGTGTCTGCAGGACCATCTGGAAGACCTGGTGTTGGAATGCAGGGACATGGTGGGAAACCTCACCGAGCTCGAGTCAGAGGTGAGTCTGGACCACAGCCTGAAACTGTAGCTGTTATGAGACGTTATTCTCATTTGTTGGTCTAATAGAAGTGGCACTGCCTTTTTATAGGATTATCCACAGTTCGGTCTTTTTCAACTTTTCAATCTTATGTTGCTCTAAACCAGGACTCAACCGGGACTCAACCGGGACTAAACTAGGACTCGACCAGGAGTAGACCAGGAGTAGACCGGGAGTAGACCGGGAGTAGACCGGGAGTAGACCGGGAGTAGACCGGGAGTAGACCGGGAGTAGACCGGGAGTAGACCGGGAGTAGACCGGGAGTAGACCGGGAGTAGACCGGGAGTAGACCGGGAGTAGACCGGGAGTAGACCAGCCCTACCTGGCCCTACTCTGCTCGGCCCCAGCTCTGTTTACTTAACTGACAGCTGATGGAGCAAAACAAAACCAATCGACTACTGTTTCAGGTGGACAAGTGTATGGTCATTACTATTCAAGGTGTGAAGTCTTTTTGAAGACTGCTTCCTGATTGGATAAAATAAATTCAAATTCTAGTGGAAAATGTTAGTGGCTGAAGTTATACCAAGGGGACAAACTATTTTACTGTATATAATAGTGAAGTCTCTCAAACCGTGTCTGCGTAGGTTTCCTCTGGGTGCTCCGATTTCCACTAACACTAAAAACATGCACAATATGTGTAAACTCCAGAATATCAACATCTGGAGATGGTTACCGGGCGCTGTGCTACGGCGACCACTGCCTCTGACAGACGCCCCATAGTGGCATTGTAGGATGGGTCAAATGCAGAGGACCAAATTCCCCAGAGGGATCAATAAAAGCGCACACGTTTACAATTTGTTACACTTTTGTTAATAAATATTGATAAACATTATTTTAATTACAGTGTGACAAGAGCCAAACTAAACCTGGATTTAGAGTCGCATTTACTGAAAATAGCATTTGTGCCATGTTACAGCTCATTACATCTTGAATAATTATATGTTATGGTGTTTCAATGACACCTGTCTGACTTGTTTTTTTCCCCTTCCCTTTTGACGTCTGGAGCGCTTTACAATATTGCATTTTGTTTTTCACCTTGAAAGGGGAATAATAGACATTTTGAGTGGCATTGACAAAGGCACATTGTGATGGCTGCATAAAGGAAAGAACAGGCTGTCGCAGGCTATTTTTGAACACACAAGTCTTTTCACGCGACATAAGACAGTTATGTTATCAGAAAGTTCAATTCAGTATGGTTTGGGGTCTAAGTCCCAGCTTATGGTCCCAGTTTATATTTTAAATGGTTCCAGTCTAAATGTTGCCTGTGGTTTCTAACACATTTGTATTTGAAAAGGTTTGTTATTTATGTGACTGGCTTTCAAATAATTCATATAAATATCCTGGGGGAAAGTCATTATGCGAGAAAATACCAACCTTCATGTTTTAAGCTGGGCATACAATGATCTTTTCTTTATTTTTATACAATAGGGATGCAACTTTTGATGTACGTGTCTTGAATTGATACAGCGATTTTAATTTCTTAGGATCAATTCAATCTGATGTCAAGAAATTCTGGCACAAATGTATATGAGCTTTTTATGCCTCAAAGCTTCTCCCTCAGTCTTTGAAGTATTAAGTGTTGTCATAGTGGTACAATGACATCACACCATTATAAAAATTAGTAATGGCAATTTCTCTGTTTTCTGTTGGGGAAGAAAATGCAACCCCTTCCTCTGAGGGAGTTTAATCCGAAGTGAAAAGGTCTCTTTATTTTTGGCCATAAAAATGATATTTCATCTTCAAAGTCAAATCTCAAAGTTGACCATGAGATCTTCAAAGATGCGTTGTGCAATTTTAACAGGGAACTACGTAGAACGAGGGAAATGTACTTTTCTGAAACTATTGAAGGCTGTAGCAACAATCTACGTGTTCTGTTTTCAACAGTAAATAGATTGACGAATCCCCCTGTTAAGATGCCATCAGAACTTCCTTCCAAATCTAAATGTAATGAGTTTTCTCAGTTCTTTAATGACAAAGTCCAAGGTATCAAAAACGCCATCACCTCCACGAAAGAAATAATAATCCAACCGCCAGTGAGGCTTTTTGGGCTGACGCACTTTACACCAGTACAAATTGAAACTGTCCAGGAGATAATCACTAGTCTGAGTTCCTCCACATGCAGCCTGGATGTATTACCTCCTAGATTTCTCAAGTCAGTTCTGAGCAGTCTTTTACCTTCACTTACACAAATAGTTAATATGTCTCTTGAATCTGGAACATTCCCAATGGCCTTGAAAACGGCGGTCATCAGGCCCCTCCTAAAAAAGAGGAGTCTGGAAGCCCTGGCACTCCAAAATTATCGGCCCATTTCAAATCTGCCTTTCATGGGAAAAATTCTAGAAAAAGTTGCCTATCAACAACTTACAGAATTTTTAATAATCAATAACGCTTATGATATGTTCCAGTCAGGGTTTAGACCCCACCACAGCACTGAGACCGCGCTAATAAAGGTAACAAATGACAGCAAACTAAACACTGACGCAGGAAAAGTCTCAGTCCTTTTTCTGTTAGATTTAAGTGCTGCTTTTGACACTATTGATCATGGCATCCTCATTCAGAGACTTGAGGACTGGGTTGGTGTTGCTGGCACCGCCCTAAGCTGGTTTAGGTCCTATTTACAAGACAGAAAGTTTTTTGTGGAGATCGAAAACTGTACCTCAGACCACTTGGCCCTGACCTGCGGAGTGCCACAGGGGTCAATCCTGGGTCCTCTTCTGTTTAATATTTACATGTTGCCTCTAGGTCAGTTGATTCACAGTAATAATGTCTCTTATCATAATTACGCTGACGATACTCAGGTCTATGTGTCCCTGACAGCAGGAGAGCATGAACCAGTGGACTCGCTCCTTCACTGTGTCCAGCAAATCGGTGATTGGATGCAAAATAACTTTCTCCAACTAAACACCGACAAAACTGAAATAATTGTTTTCGGACCCCAGAAACAAAGAGAGAGCGTTATTTGTCACCTCCAGGCTCTCTCTCTACAACCCTCAAATCAGGTCAGAAATCTAGGAGTGATAATGGACTCAGACTTAAATTTCAAAAGCCACATAAAATCTGTAACATCAGCAGCTTATTACCACCTAAAAAACATTGCTAAAATTAAAAACATAGTGTCTAAGGCAGACTTGGAGACTCTTATACACGCTTTTGTCTCCAGTCGGTTAGACTATTGCAATGGCTTGTTCACAGGTCTCTCCAAACAGGCTGTAAAACAGCTGCAGTACATTCAACATGCAGCAGCTCGAGTCCTGACCAGAACTAGGAAGTGCGACCACATTAGTCCAGTTCTCAGGTCTCTGCACTGGCTTCCTGTTCCTCAGAGAATAGACTTCAAAGCAGCTTTACTTGTGTACAAGTCTCTCCATGGTCTCGCGCCAAGGTACATCCACGACATGTTTGTGCCATATGAACCGACCCGGACTCTGAGGAGCACAGGGACTGGACTCCTGTTAGTGCCCAGAGTCGGTACTAGACATGGGCAAACTGCATTTCAGATTCATGCGGCTAGAGTCTGGAACCGTCTTCCTGAGAATGTGAGACAGGCGTCTACTCTGGCATCTTTTAAATCTAGGCTCAAAACAATTCTGTTTAGCTGCGCATATACAACTGAATGATTTTATCTTTCCATCTTTGTTTTTATCTTTAATCTTTTTAATGCACTGTGACTATTTATGATTTTAGTCCCATCTGTGATTTTAATGTTTAAAGGTTTTTAATTTTTGTGATTTTATTTTTAATGTTTTTAATATATCTTGTGCTCTTAATGTGTTTGATTTATGCATGATTTGATAGGGGATGTGAAGCGCTTTGCGTTGCCTTGTGTAGGAAAGGCGCTCTACAAATAAACGTTGATTGATTGATTGAAAGCTATTGAATAAATAGTGATTGCTCATGATATGTTTGGATTATAACTATACAGCAGAGAAAAGCACCATGTCCTCTTTAACATTTTGTCTCTTGTTTCAGGATATCCAGATTGAGGCACTGCTGATGAGGGCTTGTGAACCAGTTATCCAGTCACACTGTCACGTAAGTCAACTCATGTCAACTTTTCCAATTACACCTAAATATAAAAAATATATTAAGAAGTCCTAGTCCTAACAAGTAAATATCACTGAATTAACTTGTGAGGACTGCTCTCTTTTTGGATGGATACATTTCTGCTTTAGTCCTGTCCGTTGATGTCGTCAGGCCAATATGCCTGAGCCTCAGTCCTGAAGGTTTTTATCATCTAGCCCCGAGTGAACATTTACCTAAAACTCATAACTAAAGCCAAATATTTATTCTTTGCCGTGAGCTCCTGATGCAGTTATCGTCTCCCTGCCCCACATCAGACACTCTTTCTATTTTACCTCATTTCCTTTTATTATCACAGTTGGTAGTTCCATCATTAAGGCCTCAGCAGGAGTCGATGCATCTCGTCAAGTATGAAACTCAAATGTAACGACGCCCTCCTGATTTTATTTAACTTTTCTGACGTTAAAGCTGAAATTTCAGACTTTACTGCCTCTATTTCTACACAGCTGAGGAAGAGCCGTATACTTCTGTTTAATCTCTGCTTTTCTAAAGGATTAGACAGAAAAACGTGAAAAAAAAAAAAAAAAAGAATAGCCAACCATTGTGGCAGAGACCTTGTATAAAAGTTTGTCGGGTCATACTGACTTATCTTTTTTTCAAGTAGTATTGATGTTTTAAGAATAGACATGTATTTTCTTTTTTTTTAATATATTGGAACGGAAGGGTGAAGCAAGCAGGATTTTCTTTGAACTTACTCTCGTTTTTGTTTAATTTTCAACTTTAATTCATTTTTTTAGGACAAAATTATGACAAAAATGTGATAGTTGAGTATGTATGCCGAGGTTTAATTATTGTACCTTAAAACGTTCCCACATCTCCGCGTTCGCACTTCAGCAGTAGAGAAGTGTATATTATTGTTTGTAGAAAGTAACCGTGGTGACAAACAAGGGACCGCTGTATATATTTTGAGAGTATGCACAATTTTCTTTTTCTGTCATTCTGTTTCATTCTCCAATGATTGACAAATGATTCTTGACTGTTATCGAACCAACTGCCGGAAAGTGTTCAGATTGTCAACATTTCATTGCCTCTGCCTCCTCTCTCTTCTCTTCTTTCCATGCCCTCTCTCTCCTCTCCTCTCTCTCCTCTCTCCTCTCTCTTCTCTCTCTCCTCTCTCCTCTCTCTCTCTCCTCTCTCCTCTCTCTTCTCTCTCTCCTCTCCTCTCTCTCTCCTCTCCTCTCCTCTCCTTTCCTCTCTCCTCTCTCTCTCCTTTCTCTCTCCTCTCTCTCCTTTCTCTCTCCTCTCTCTCCTTTCTCTCTCCTCTCTCCTCTTTCCTCTTTAATCTTACTACTCTCTCTCCTCTCTCTCTCCTTTCCTCTTTCCTCTCTCTCTCCTCTCCCCCCCTCCTCTGCCTCCTCTCTTTCATCTCTTTCATCTCTCTCCTCTCCCTCCTCTCCCTCCTCTCCCTCCTCCCCCTCCTCCCCCTCCTCCCCCTCCTCCCCCTCCTCTGCCTCCTCTCCTCCTCTCTCCGCTCTTTCCTCTTTCATCTCTCTCCTCTCTCTCCTCACTCCTCTCTCCTCTCCCTCCTCTCCTTGCTTCCTTTAGGAGGTGGCAGATAATCAGGTCGACACTGGAGACCTTATGGAGTGTCTGGTCCAGAACAAACACGAGAAGGAGATGAATGAGAAGTGTCTGGTGGGAGTCACTCACTTCCAGCTGGTGAGACTATGTCATCAATGAAATCATGTGAATGTTGGGACAGGAATGGGGGGGAATATGAGTACTCCAAAACATGTTTCTTGCAATTTTTCTTTATTATTATTTCTTTGTTAGACTGTTAAAAAACTCTGAATTTAACTTGTTTGATAAAATTCCCATCCAGCTAATAGTCCGAGATAGGCATTCATATTCAATAAAGCTATTAGTATATGTTTTCAACGACTAATAAAAGTGAATATTTATATCAAGTTTGCTTAATTTTTCAACTATTTTCCCCAAAAATATATTTTTAAGTCTATATTTTAAGTCTTATGTTGTGAACACTCAGAACATGCTCTCTTTGGCATACCTGTACAATTTGTCACAACTTTAAATCTACTTTTTCAGGGGCCAAAACCCATGCAAAAAGTGATAGTGACCTTGGAGGCTTGGAATTACAGTAGTCACATTCATTGAATTGCACAGTTCCATCTTATTGTGTTTTGAAAGATGGTTACGCCCAGCTTTTAATATGAAACAAAATGATTAAAGTAGAATTACTTAGAAATTCCACTTGTCAAGGATGTTGTGAGCTGTAAAAAAGGGCGGGGGTGATTTGTCAAGTTTAATGAAAGTCCTTTTCTGTAGGTAAACATGAAAACCTAATCCTCCAGCTGTCAGTCGCTCCTTATCTCTCACACTGATCACAATCTCTGTGCTGTTTCCTTTTAGGTTCAGATCAAAGATTTCCGTTTCTCGTACAAGTTCAAAACCGCCTGCAAAGAAGATGTCCTCAAGCTGTGTCCCAACATCAAGAAGAAGTAAGGTCAAAGTTTGGGATCATAAATGTAGCTCGGGGCGTCTGCGTCTGAACGCTTATGATGCTTCATTGAATACACGCATGACTGTAAATTCTACTGTGAAACCCTGACTGCTAACGACATAGTGTATACTTTATCAGAGTACTTCATTTTTGGGCAGTATACAGCTGATACACAGCGTATAGCCAAAATCCTACGGCTCAGTTAAATTTGTGTAAGACTTTAAGGTTAGATTGACGGACAAGTTTTCATATTCATTCTCTTAAATAATATACTATTATAATTAGGGATGGGAGTTGGCAGTAATGTGACAATTTGATAGTTTTGCGATATTTGGGCCACAATTCAGTATTTTATATTATGCTTAACTTTTTTCAATAGAGAAAGTATTGAAATTTGATTCTGTAATATATTGCAATTTACGTCCCTCATATTTTCAAAGGCAATAAAAAAAAATGTGGAAAACAAGACCGGGCGACAGTAGCTCAGTTGGTGGAGCACTTTCTGAATCGACGACATCTCACATGAATAACTTACATTATTCAAATATAATAGACTAGAGTAAAAAAAAGCAGACATACCAGCGTAACATAAACCTCAAATGTAAATTACTAGAGTAAACTCTGAGTGAACACAAAGTTGAAACGGATACTGCGATACTTTGCTCTACTGTACCGATTTAATTGTGTGCGCAAAATATCGTGATGCTGAACGCCAGCACTAATTATATTGTTTGATTGAGTCCTGAGTGGCCTTATTTCTAATGTGGCTCCGTTGACACTGAAAATTCCCCAGCGTGTGACGAAAAGTTCTCGTCTTTTTGGAGGTGTGAGATTTCATAACATTTTGAAGCAACTTTTGTTAAAGTTAAACTCATCATTCTATCAATGTGCAGAAGCCTGTACTTTTCCCTTGTTTTGTCTATCTGAAGGCCAAGCTACATGGCACCGTGGCAGCTGCTGATTGGAGGTCTCCATGCCTCCGCTCTGTATAATACACTTGCATTCTATTGTATCTGTGATCGTGTGCTTTGTTTGTGCTGTCTCTACCATCGACAATAAAACATGTCTTCTGTCGGAATTTATGACACGATCCCAGACTTGGCACATCTTCTTCAGGTGGTGGAGAATGCGGGCATTGTCTGTAACATCTAGAGAACAGAAGACTTTTTTTTTTTTACACAAAATGTGTTTTTTTTAAGCCAAAACTGAGAAACCTCAAGAGAATGCATCTGGACCAGCACATGGACAATCTGCACAGCCCCTGATTCCACTCAGGCTGTGAGCTGCTGAGACATGGAAAACACCATCGTCCTCTTTTGCATGGACATAATTTGGAACAATTGGATTTCTGAATTTGGACATAATTTGGACTGAATTGAATTGCTGAATCTGGACACTGAAGCTGAAACGTGTGATTGAACGACACGTCACAGAAGAATCATGGCTTGACACGACAAATGCAGCCTGAAGAAATCAACAGAGAAGTGGGAGAGACTGTTTTCAAAGCAATATCTGGAACCACCATCGACTGATGAAGTTTGGTATTTTACTGAAGATTGTTGACAAGTTTTATGAAAGATCTGAACATGTTTTATGAGTTTTCTGAGTTTTTGAAGTACCGAGTGAAGTACTGAGTTTAAGTATTGAGTCATGATGTTATGTTGCTGTTTATCGATCCTGATGGTCACACGTGAATGTATGACCAGAGGGGGGAATGTGAGATTTCATAACACTTTGAAGCAACTTTTGTTAAAGTTAAAACTCATCATTCTTTCAATGTGCAGAAGCCTGTACTTTTCCCTTGTTGTGTCTATCTGAAGGCCAAGCTACAAGCACACCGTGGCAGCTGCTGATTGGAGGTCTCCATGCCTCCGCTCTGTATAATACACTTGCATTCTATTGTTTCTGTGATCGTGTGTTTTGTTCGTGCTGTCTCTACCATCGACAATAAAACATGTCTTCTGTCTGAATTAAAGACGCGATCCCAGACTTTGTCATCTTCTTCAGAGGTTTGGGGTTTTGACGGGCTTTCTTGTAGCATCTTTCCCTGATCGTGGCTGGTCTCTCTCTGCAGGGTGGACGTGGTCATCTGCCTCAGCACCACCGTGAGGAACGACACGCTGCAGGACGTCAAAGAGCAGCGCGTCTCTGTCAAGTGTCGCAAACAGCTGCGAGTGGAGGAGGTGGAGATGGTACGGACCCCCCTGTCACCCTCAAACTTTACAATGCACCTTTTAACACGGCATGAAACTATGATCAAATGACATAGGCGGTATTTGGTAACAGTTCTGTATTCAGGCCGTTACAATCTTTCCTTGTTTTTCATCTTCTCTTTTTTTAAACCTATTTTTGGGGGACATTTCTGTGGCCAGTTCAGTTTTTCTGTTCACATAAACACACCAGAAGCTTGAGATGTGCAACGGATAGAGCTGTGTCTGAATTTGGTCTTGTGCTCTGGTGGTGTGCTGAACAAATACACACATTGGCAACATTTATATATACAGTAGGCCGCAGAGTTCACAGAAGTTGACAAAATTAGTGGCTTATTGTCCAGCTTTTAGTGTAGGCCATTTTTGAAAGACCTCAGACATGGTTAGTAATGCTAATGCTAATGCGCTGGTCAAATATTATTTAGTTTGGTAATGTTTAGGGATGCAACCAGGATTTTTTTTTTTTTTTAAGTGACTAGAGTAAAGCGGTCTGTACCTTGTGTGTTAAGGCAAAACTGTCACATGGTGGGTCCAAAACAAACATGTGTAACACCAGCAACTTGATAAAACTCCCCAAAACACAGAGTTACTTTTGCTAGCACCGGAGCTATATCTAAATAACATTCATATGAGTGGAATAGTGGCTCTTAATTTTGACTGCTAAAAACAACTGCTAAAATGTGTTATTGTTAAAGCATTTTCTTATTGTTGAAATGAGAAAAAAAAATATGGTTTCAGTCTGAGGACATCCGACTGGACCCAGAGCTGTACGACTCCTGTCAACCGGACATCAAGAGGCTGTGTCCAAACGTCAACTACGGCAACGCACAGGTCAGGGTCCCCTCTGCAGCCGCATCAAACCACAACCCTTCTGTTTTTAACTCTCACGCCTCACAATCTAACGAATGCGAACGACAGAAGTGAAAAACGCATCTGAATTGGTCTGCGAGAATGTGTGTGTGTGTGTTTGTTTGTGTCCCTGTCTGTGTTCATGCAAGTAAAACAAGAAGTACTAACTCAAATGTATTGTGGGCTAAAAGGTGTGAAAAGTTTGGCTAATAAGGCGCACTGGTTTTGTCAGTGAATACATTAACACCTCAGTGCGACACATGCTCCACATACGCTGCGGTACATTTGTCACGTAACGGCCTGCACCTGATCTGGTACTTTGTCCGTGCAAGAAGGAAGCCGGTGGAGACAGTAATTCTTTCTGTTTCTGGGAAAAAGTCGTCAAATGTGAGCTTGAGAAACTGACGTCATGGACAGAGCTGTCATCTGACTTTTTAAAACCAAATTGCCTCTTAATTTCTCCAGTCCAATGACGTTCTTTAAAGCAGATTGTAAATTCCTTCTTTTATTGTTAGATGTGATGCTCATCCTTACCCATTATGTACATGTGGGTCTCAGTGCTTAGGTGCTTCCTTAAAAGCAGCACCTAAATACAAATGCGTTAAAATGTAAAATCCCAAACTTGGCCTGTAACAAGATCTATTAATCACAAATAATGAATTATTGAGTTATATTTATCCGCATATCCTCTTTTATCCACTTTTTGCAAAGAGCATGACATATTTCTGGACACCATGATGGCAACAGCTCAATGTTGTTGCTCCTTTTACGTATTTTCTCTAGTTCTGTCTGACAACCTTAAAGCTCTGACATGCAACTTTTCTGTTTCATAACTATTTGCTTGTACCAACAGAAAGTACACACCACAACATGATATCTTCATCTAATGAGAAAACTTTACTATTTGTTTTATGATATTTAGCCTAGAAATATTGTAAGAAAGAGCCCTGTGAGTCACTTTTTAATGTTTTGGGCTGAGAAGCATGTGTTTTGAATCTGCTGTTTACATTTGATACATAGAATACTTGTGCTTGAAAAAAGCTGCAGGATATTTTATAATTCTGTATGAATCGTGGTAAGAATCTTGCCTTCTCACAAACAATACTTTTGATTGACTGTTGTAAAATATTAAGAGATCCTTTATTTGTGCCCCAGTGGGGAAATTTCAGTGTTGCATCACAAGTTACAGAACAGTTGGAACGAGGAGCACATAACACATAATAAATGAAAAATAACTCTATATACTAAAATAAAATCTAACTCTAGCATAAAAAGAAGCAGTATAAAATCTGTCTTTAGCATGATAAGGAAAGAAGTCTATAATCTCCAACTTAATGAAGAAGCTAGATTAAAGTATAGTCTAGTACCCCTGACTTTAGCAAATATAAAATACAACTATATATTACTTGCACTAAAATATACAGTATGTATACATCTGTTAGCAGCATGAGGCTCTGGGACATATTCGTCAACTAAAACTAAATGAAAACAAAATAAAATCTGTATATATATTGAAATTCAAAAATGAATAACAATCAGCCAACTAATCAGATTATATAGTTAGTTACTGCCCTGTATCTAAGTATATGTGTCAAAATCATGTATAAAAACAGCTTAGAATGAAGACACGTAGTACCATCACACTTGATTTCTTTATTTGTGATTTTTCATATCTCCATATTTCACATTTTCTAAACATGGCCTGAATCCAATGCAAAGGCATGCTGAGAATACCACTACATTTCTCCCCGGTCATAGTGCACGGGGTAACCATCCTGGCACCCGAGGACCACGTAGACGGTCTGACTTCTCCCCCTGTACTCGCACCTGGGGGGGCGGTGGGTGCCACTCTGCTCACAGTTGATCACGGGGAACGGCTGGAGGCTCTTTCTGAGGTTGGCGCTGTTCTTGTACGGCGTCCCAGCATTGCCGCACACCGCTTTGATCGCATTTGTTGTAGAGCTGATGAAGGTGTTGGTTTGCTTGCAGTTGTTGTTCTCTGCGGTAATTCTCCTGGTGCGCATCACTTCTGCACAGCGAGTTCTGCTCATGCCTTGGTTCACGTGCTGGTTGATGAAATTGCGGTAGCGGTCGACGACGTTCTGTCCCAGCAGCAGAGACGGGCAAAGCACCAGTACGAACAACAGGGAGTAGGTCTTCATGGCTTCCTGGTGAAAGAAAGATTTGCATTGAATTGTGTGTAATGACATTTAGAGACAAGAATGAAAAGTGTGTTACCGTTGTCAGTGAACAGATGCGATGGAGTCTTTGTTCAACCACTTCTTTTATAGGATTATTTTCTGATGATTTCTGCTGACTTCCCCAAAATTGTTTGCCAATTTGTTGCAACATTTAGTGTTCCTGTATTTATTTTTTTCCTTGCTTCTTTCATTGTTTTGTAACTGAAATGCAAAACTGTCTTTTGAGCATCAGATTGGATGATTTAAAGTGCAATAACAATAATAATGAATTAATAATAGATGGAGGTAATCAGTAGAAGTCACAAATATTCAATGCTGATGATTTTATTTATTTTGCTGTTTCTGCCCCCTGTCGTTTAAACAAGGTGTAGTACAGTTGTCTGAAGCATGCATCATAGTGCTTATTACCAAAGCTAATTGTCCCAAAATGGGATTTTTACACAAAAAAATGGCAAGCTCAATGTTAAAAACTCACCACATAAACAATTTGAGGCAATGTACAATAGAGCTGCAACTAACGATTATTTTGTAATCAATTAATCTATCGATTATTTTTACGATTAATCGAGTAATCGCTTGGCTGTGAATTGTGTAGAAAAAATTTATTTTTTCATCACAAAAAGCTAAAGTGGCAACACTCGAGGACGTATTGATGGCGTAAACTTAAAGTAAATGTTTGTAACAGGCTCTTTGTGCTAATTCTGCTATCTGATTGGATGAGACAGACAGATATTCATGAAATTATAAAAACAGTCGGTTTTAATCAAAAATACTGCATTTTCATGTCATTTTTGCTCTGTTTGAGTCCGTGTGAACCAGAAAAAGATTAATCTATTACTAAAATAGTTGTCGACTATTTCAATAATCGATTAGTCGTCGATTAATCGATTAGTTGTTTCAGCCCTAATGTACAATGTTAGAGAATACACAGTAAAAACACATGAACCCTGAGAGCATCGCTGCCGCACGCACGTCCAAGATTTAGTTTTAAACATGCCAAGAGTTGTTAGATTTTAAATGGACAGGGGGCGTTTCATAAACTGGAGCCCCTCTTAGAAAATGCTGTTTGGGCCAAAGATCCTCGAAACAGTATTGTACGGGACAGTCCCCCCCTGAGGCTGGACGTACCATAGTTCAGCAGTGTATTTGCGAGAACATAGTCATCAAAGTTGAGATGCGCAGAATACTTTTTTCTCCACCAACTATTTTTGTTGTTGTTGATAAAGTCATATAAACCTGTGCTCTCTAATTGAGGCCCTTAATAGTCTTGCACATATTGATCGCTATGAAATGGAAAATCACAAGACTCCAGTGAGTCTCGGGTAATGTTTCACAACGTGGACTCACTTCTGTTTTTTTATTCAGTTTCATTTCTCGATTCTCATTTCTTCTCTAAAAACTTTTGCATAATCAAACGCGTCAAGTCTAATGGAATACAGTGCTCGCTCGCCAAAAAAAAACAGTTCACCTTTTGCAGATTTGGCATGTTTTCTGGACTCTGCGCTGCTCACTTGCCGTATTTATATTCAAAAAAGCATCTCATAATTACCTTATTTAAAGGTTATTTATTATGCAGCTCTTCGCAGCAGCAGTAGAACGCTTCATTGATTTGAATGTAATTTCAAAATTTTCTACCGGCCATTATTACGGACCAATAATGACCGCTGCTTAGCCTTGTAATTCACGTGTGTCCGATCACCTTGATCTAGGAGTAGTCCGGCCACTTCGTCTACAAGCTTCGCGTCAGGGTCTGGTTTGCCGTGTCGGTACTTTTTTTCTGATAATGACCTGTGTTCTATACATTATACTTAATTTAAAGTCAGGAGAAATATTTTGTCCGTGGCTTGTGTGCACCACTGTGATAGTTCAGAGGACTACCACAGTCTTCCCTTTGCCCTCAGTCCTACTCCTGCCCCTACTCGAGCTGTATTTTACAGTGTATGTACGGCTTTTGACAGCTGCAGCAGCACTCAGACCTACAACAAACAGGCTTGATCTCGCTGCAATCGCTCTTCAGCAGTCGTGACTTCAGGTGGTTAGAAAAGTGTATAGAGTGTGTGGTGACTGGTTTTACAGCCGTAAAACATAGAGCTGCTTATACATTGAGCTTATTTTGGGTTATTTTATAGAACATCGTTCCTTTGAGACACAAGAGACCTCTGTATTTATGCAGATGTATTATCTATGTTTGGATACCCGCATGTAATATATTGGGGCGACGGCTGAGTAAAGCTGTGACTTTGCCTGACTGCAGGTGATCGAGTGTCTGAAGGAGAGCAAGAGGCAGCTGACCCAGAGATGTCACCAGAGGATCTTCAAACTGCAGGAGGTGGAGATGGTAGACCCCGAGCTGGACTATCAACTCATGAGGGTCTGCAAGCACATGATCAGAGTACGCCCCCACGCACAGCACCGCCGCCATTCCACAAGTGAAACATCGTGTGCTCCGTGTGCTCCGGGGTGTACACTACATTTGGAGGGGTTTAAGTTCTTAATGGTTTTGATTAACGTTGCTAAGTCAGAATCCACTGCGAATGCTGAATGTTTTTTCAGTCACAGCCAATTCACTGCAGTGTCAAATGTAATACACTGCAAAAATGATAACATTTGAGGTAAAAATTGCTTGAATCGATCTTATTTTCAGTACATTCTGACTGTCTTAAAGCAAGATGGCCAGAGATGAGACAAGCCATTTTGTTGCTTTATGTTCTCATTCCATGGGAAACATTTCTTGTATCCTATCATTTGCTTGTCCCATTGGAATATATGGTTTTAAGGCAGTCAAAATGCTCACATTTGAGACATTGTAAGACTTAATTTTTATCTCTTTTTCAGTGTATTGTTGAAATTTGTTTTAAATTATTTTTCCAATATATTTACACAATCCTATGCATGGTATTGGAAACAAATATTATCGTTCAGATGTGTTTTTAATCATATAATTGCCTTTTTAATGTTGACAATATTGAAACACAAATTCAAGTCAATCATCTAGAATTTTCTTTTTGTAGCAATGAAAACGTTAAATGTGGAACCGGTCATTTCACATTGGTACCATGTTGTGTTTTCTAGCGATTCTGCACCGAGTCCGAGGGCAAGAACATGCTCCAGTGTCTCAAGCAAAACAAAAACAGCGAGTTGATGGATCCCAAATGTAAACAGATGATCACCAAACGCCAGATCACACAGAACACAGGTGAGTCCGTAAGCGAGTCCTTTAGTAAAACACTTTGCAGTAAACTAAAATCATATCTGTGTGTGTGTGTGTGTGTGTGTGTGTGTCCAGACTACAGGCTTAACCCGGTGCTGAGAAAAGCCTGTAAAGCTGACATCCCAAAGTTTTGCCAATCCATCCTCAACAAGGCCACAGCGGATACAGAGCTGGAAGGACAAGTCATCTCCTGCCTCAAACTCAAATACGCAGACCAGGTAATGCAGTAATAACCATTTTTCACTTATTTACAGTTAAAGCTGCTGTATTAGTTTTAGGTTGTCCCTCGTATTGTAGCGTTCACAAACTGGATGTATATGAATTTGCAATGACTCGTTTGTGCAATTTCATAAACTTAACCTTTACTTTGAGTGTTTGCCTTCTCCCTCAGTCACATAATAGATTTTTCAGCGATAGTTTTTGGGTTTTTAAGGGGTGAATACTTATGTCAACAGCCACCACTTCTTTCTCATGTTTGGTGCACAGCCTGCTTAACAATTATGTCGAAATTATGGAAAAAAAACAATTTGAAAAGCGGATAATTGAATTTCCAAATGTCTATATTTTACCACTCCAGAAAATTCTCACGCGTTTGGTCATTGCTGTACTGCGGTTGGGTTTCTGTTGATGAGACCTGTTCAATGTTGATCACAGGAGGAATGAGTCTATAGCCTCATTTCCACTGGGCAAAAACAGAGGGATTTCGACAATAAACCGACCTTGTTTTATAGCCCATTGCTTATTTGTGGGTCAGGTGAATGTTCTAAAACTGCACAAAAGTCACACAAAGCACCACTTGTGTCCATGTGGAAGCTAACAAGGATTCAAATAAATAAATACACAAAGGACATTATAATACTGTTCCCTCTGATCCTGAGTGATCACTGCGCTGTAACTTTTAGCTAACTTATTTTGAAAGTCTGAAGTCTGTTTTGAATCGTTCCTCTCTTCCCCCTGCAGTGGAAAACAGATACCAAACAAAAACTTTTCTCACTGTTGTCCCGGGTTGACGCCACACTCTGGGCTGCAGTGAGGGAAAGCTTTATGTACTGTATATACATAGGGTAAACTTTAAAATCCTACAGCAATTTCTCATTTGTTTGACTTTTATTAACACATGGAGAGCTTGTATTCCAGTATTGACCTGTCCAGTGTTGTCTGGTGCCGTTTCACACCTACGCCTGGCTGGACTGGTCTGCTCCGTGCCAGATAAACGCACAGAAGTTTCACATATTCCGTGTGTGTGTTGTGTTCTGCTTCGTCAGCGCTTGTCCCCAGACTGTGAGGACCAGATCAGGGTGATTCTCCAGGAGTCTGCGCTGGACTACAGACTGGACCCTCAGCTTCAGATCCACTGCACACAAGAGGTACTCCCACTCCCACTTTGAGATTCTCATTGTAGTGTAGACCTAACATCAAAAAGGTGTTCTCTGGAGTTTCATTATGGTTTTATCACAATGTAAACCTCCCACTTCCTCCGTTAGTTCAATCTCCCTACCCTTGTTTCCATTAATTAATGTAAATTGAAAGTTTCTGAACATGCTTTGTTAGGTGGAGAAGTTTGACAGACTGTGAAAGATTTTACTCAACTTTTATGTTTCACCATATTACAACACAAATTGAAAAAAACAATTGTACATATAAAGCACTGGCTTATAGTCCATTACTGTAATAAAACGGGCATTACATAAGTCTTTTCATATGTGACCATTTTTTCCCTTTTTCTGCACAATAAGATTTATACCTACTATTACACAATCTATTCTTTGACATTAAGCTACAGAAGTCTCGTCACAATTGCTTATTACAGTACTTGCTGGACTATAAGACAATATTTCTTTCAACCGAGTGCTCCCTCGGCGCAGGAATGGATTTGGACACGGCTCTGTCAGCTGTTGATCTCCAGATAGTCCAGGAAGTACTGTAATAAAACAGACATACCGGCGTATATATTATCATATATTCATTTTTCTCATGATTTCATATGGTAGTTCCAGAAAATCCTCTGATATTTGAACGTGCCTCCGTTATAATTAAAAATACATCTTATGCTGTGGCTGCTGTCACTTCCATAAGAACTGTATCTGCATATTGGCCATCGTATCAAAGGCGCCCCTACACATCCAGTGTGTTGTTTAGGTGCACAGCTGTCAGCTCGGCTCAATCACTGCTCCGACATCACGCCCCCAGACGTTATGCTCTGTGACAAGAGCAAAAGTCTGCAGCTGATGCTACTAAACCACAATTTATCTCACCATGTCAACTGGCTCTTTGAAAACAGATTTAAATGGTGTACTACACTCAATTGAATGTATTTTTGTATAGCCCTAAGTCACAGCAGCAGTCGTCTTGGAAGACTTTACAAGGTTGCAGATTTGCCAACAACAGATTGGAGAATCAGAGTTCAAACACATGGAAATGCAAAGGAGCCATTGGTTCAAAGGGAGAAGGAGGACCACTGTCTATAAATGTTCATACATGTCCTTAAATACCTTTAAGCTCTCTTGCAACAACAACAACAACAAATCCAGTGCGGGTAATAAAGGGACACCTCAGGGAGACCCATATCAAGAGATCTTCTCCCACGGACGGACAGGCTGAAGATCCAGGACACAGGTCATACAACCAGGACGGAAGCAGTGCAGCACAGGACTGAGGAGACGTCCAGCCCACGAGTCTGGGCCGGGGGCGACCAGTTCATAGGTGCAGCTCGAAGTGGCAGGATTCAGGGGTCCCTTCATCCCGCCATGAAACGAACAATGGGAGAGCGGGTGAAAAGCAATGAACAGACTTCAGCTGAAGTGATAAAGATGACAGATAAAGTAGGAGGAGAGGATGGTGCTTACCAATACTTCTCCATGCAAGATGTCTCCATATGCAGCTTGGGTTTTTGACATCTGCTGAACGAAAGATCTCCCACTGCGATACACTGCTTAGACCGACACCAGGCGTGACATATTTTCCTTCATAACGTGGCCATCTGTATATTTTGTGAATGTAAACAGCGAGGTTTCTTAAATATCTCTTGTTCATTCAAAAAATTTGGTCATGGGCAGATGGTCACATGAATAAATGGTACGACAGCTGTTAGTATTAGATAGCAATATGGCCTACGTGCAGGACTGTACAAGGACTCTGATGATGACTCCATGTTTTGACTATGATTTGACTGTCTCTGTGTGACACTTATGTCTTTCGATGTGTGACGTGACAATGACTATATAAACTGTACTGCCTGTATTCTGTCTGAGAGAAAGAAACAATGGAAACCACTGGAACTTGAGGGAAACTTAAAAAAACTTCCAGAGTTTGGCGCACCACGATCCGTCTGTCTGCTTCATTCCTGACACAGCTTTTTAAAAATGTGAAAAATGTTTTCAGATCTCGCGGTTGTGTCCGGAGGAGGCTGCGGCTCAGGAGCAGACGGGACAAGTGGAGGAGTGTCTCAAAGTGAACTTGCTAAAGATAAAACAAGAGGGCTGTAAAAAGGTAAAGGAACTGCACTTGTTTCCCTTGTATTAAGAAGAAGATATACTTTATTGATCTCACAATGGAGAAATTCGGTTCGATGAATACACATATACACATAGCATGCAGTTACTTCCGTGCTCCGTATAGGCAAAGTGGGGTAACGTGTCTTGCCCAAGGACACAACGACAGCAGACAGCAGTGGAGAAGGTCTTGCAGTGGGTTCAAACTCACGACCTTCATGCTCAAAGGCCAATGGCAAGGCAAGGCAAGTTTATTTATATAGCACAATTCATACACAAGGCAATTCAAAGTGCTCGACCAACTGAGCCACACGCCCCACATATTACCACGTATTTTTTGACATAACTGGGATAAACAGACCTGGGGTTGGTTTCAGCTTCATCCAGGTTAACATCGGGCCTGAAAGAAAGCCAAACAAACTAGTTAAACCTAGATTTAAACATTGTCAGAGTAGAATCCTGTCTCACATTTTCAGGAAGACTGTTCCACTGTAGACTGTAGCTGCATCAATCTGAAACACTGCCTCCAGGTGTTTAGTCCTGACTCTGGGCGTCCCTGTGCTCCTCAGAGTGAACTCATCTGGCACTTTTAAAGATGGTGTAACCGTGTGTCTTGTGTGACTCGCAGGAGGTGTTAAACATGCTGAAGGAGAGTAAAGCGGACATCTTCGTGGACCCTGTGCTTCACACGGCCTGCGCTCTCGACATCAAACACCACTGTGCTGCCATCCCACCGGGCAAGGGCCGCCGTAAGTCCGCTCGCCAACCTCTCGTTGCAGCTACGAGCCCAAATCTATGTAGTCACCCAGCTTGTTTCTCTGTCAATGTGTTGTGTTGTAGTGTTCGGACTTAAGCAACAAGTACAGTGGTCCCTCTTTTATCGCAGTGGTTACGATCAAAAAAATAACCTGAAATAAGCGAAATTCACAAAGTTGCAGCTATGTTTTAAGACTGAAATACCCCTCCACACACTTTATATACACAGTTCTAACCATCTGCACTCACGGCTGCTGAAATGCCATCGCAGAGATTTAATTCATTTATTAATTTGGATCCCCATTAGTGTCCAAAAGTGGTCGCTAGACTTCCTGGGGTCCACTCCAGCGATTTTAATACCTGTTAATGGTTGGTCTTAGCACTGCTGCAGCTGTCAAAAGCCGTGCATACGCTGTAAAATACGGCTGAAGGACAGGATCAGGACTGAGGGCTACAGGAAGACCGCGCTAGACACACAAGCCACAAATGTCTTCTTCTGACTTCGAAGAAAAGTAACTGTCATGTTATACTAGCAGCTAAATATGGTGCTTTTTATTTTAACTCGGATAACGCCTAATACACAAAAAAATCAGTAACATATTGATCACCTGCAGAGGGTCAGTTAGGGGCTGGTGCTATGAGACTTGGGTGGCATCTCTGACTGCCACCCCCCTGACCCAGAAATGGATTAAAGGGTAGAAAATGGATGGATGGATATTGAGGCAGCGAAAAGTAAACCGCGAGGGACCACTCTACACATTACTTCCTTTCTTCTACAAATCATGTCTTTTTGTGTCTATTTTCCTCAAGGCTTATCTTCTTGACTTTTCTCTGATATTATATTGGGAAGTATACAAAGTTGTGTCTAAATGTTGCTCACTCGTGTGTGTGTGTGTGTGTGTTCAGAGATGTCGTGCCTGATGGAGGCGCTGCAGGACAAACGTGTGCGACTGCAGCCTGAGTGTAAGAAGAGGCTCCAGGACCGCATCGACATGTGGAGCTACGCCGCTAAGGTCTCCCCACAGATTATTCTACTCGCAAAGAGAAAACGTGGACTTGAGTCTGCTTCAAACTGTATCATCCTTTGTTAATCCTACCAAAGATGAGTAGTGATATTACAAAACAAAAAAGAAAAATAGTAGAGAATAGAGATGTTTGTGGCTTCATAGAAAGTTACAGTAGTTGGATTAAAACAGTTTTTTGGTTCAAGATTTGATCAGCTGCGTCAAAGTAGTTAGTCACACATCAGGAAGTCCCCAGATTTCAGGTACATGAATCTGACATCTATGCTCAGTCCTGACCTTGGGCTGAGTCCCAGCAGGAGGCCAGTCCCTGTGCTCCTCAGAGTCCGACGAGGCCATGAAGAGACTTGTGCATGAATAGAGCTGCTTTAAAGTCTGTTCTCTGAGCCAAAGAAAGCCAGTGCTGAGATCTGAGAACTGGACTAATGTAAGAGGACTTCCTGGTTCTCCTGGTTTCACAACTCACACATATTTATATTTTTTTATGTACTTCATTAAAGTACATGCATTATGCCTCTTGTTGAACACATAGACTATATATTGGGAGAGGACTGACAGATGGCTGACTTCACCATATTGTTTGTTGAATGTGTAAGAAGCTGATTTGAATATAAGCTAGAGCTAATCTCTTTATATAGGCATTTGTTCCGACAATGTTCGCAATCCTTATGGCTTTTATGGTACTAAATTACAGATTTTTTTTAAGCCCAAAACTGAGTGTGACTTAACTTTTCAATGTAAGTCAAAGGAGCCACAGTGAGTTGGAGCAAAACATTGTACACAAGCACTCACCTAATGGGCTAGCATTGAGCTACGGGGTTAGCATTGTCCATCTGCTCTGCCTATGGTCGAACAGTCTGGTGAACTAAGCTTAACGGTGCTGTGTCCTCAGGTGGCTCCAGCCGAGGGCTTCTCGGACCTGGCCGTGCAGGTGATGACGTCGCCCTCCAAGAACTACATCCTGACAATGATCGGGGCGGGCGTGTCCCTGCTCTTCCTTATGGGCCTGCTGTGCGGCCGCTTCACCAAACGGGTCACGCAGGAGCTCAAGGACAGGTAGACCTCGCCCCCTTCTGAGGACAGGACACACCCACACCAGAACGCAACAAACGCCCAAATAAGGACCTTCTTCCCTTCACCATTCGGAATACTTGTGTTTGTTTTGACATCGCTATGGGAGGAGCCCAAATCTCCACGCCACACCCTCCTCATCGCTTCTTTGGACACGGCAACACCCACTACTACTGCTGACGCCTTTTTTTATCGAGTCTTCTGTTTTGTTTTTGTTACTGAATTCCTTCCTACCAAACATGGCCGCCCATTAGTCGCAGTATTATTTCGGTCCGCTCTCCGCTGCTTTGGGGCGGGGGTGGGGGGGTGTCTTGAGTAGACGGGGGTGCATTAGTGGAAGTAAATATGGCGGGTTTTGATGCTGTAAAAAGTATAATGTTAAAGTTTAAAATATGGAGGCAGGGAAGCGGAGGAGCCACGTGAAATTTGTGCAGTGTAAATGTGTAGAAAGGGGGATGGGGATCTGCTCGACCAGGGCAGGTTAATGACTCCAGTATTTTAAAGTGTGCGGGTGATTGCTTTGAGAGAGTGCGTGTGCGTGAAACTGTCTGTCGTTACTATGTTCTGTTTTTGTCCATCCGTCAATGGGATTTTTTGGCTTGCTCTTGATTTTATCGCCATGGGACTGCCGAGCGGGCGGCGCAGACTAGCCCGCCCTCCGACCAAGCCACAAGTAATGAAAGGATACAAAAAATATATAAGATTATCCAGCAAGCAGTATGACCTCTTTCCCCTTTTTTTTTCTCAAATATGCACCATAAACGCACAGCTCTAGACCAATTTTGGCCAACTCGCAAAATTCTAAAATAATTCAATGAATGGAAGTGGCTTTTTTGTTTCTGTGGTCAGACACGTGAAACCAGAAGTCTGAAAAAAACCTGTAAAGAAATCAACTCTGGTAGATTATCGTTGAGATGTGAACATTTGTGTGTAAAGATACTGGAATCATTGCACATTTTTTTTCCTTTTTTATATCTAAATATATATATATATATTGTTTTGTCATAGCTTTATTTATTTGTTTACTAATTGTTTTCTTTGATTTGAATGTTCTCTGGTTGCCTTTTCTCCAGCGAGTGGGAGGGCAGGCGGAGAGGGGGAAGGCAGCAGCTTTAGGCCGTAGATAAAGAGCTTTCTGAACACTGGAGGCAGCAGCAGCTCAGCCAATGTGGACCAAGAGACGCCACAGTCGCCCCGGGGCAGTCGCTCGGTCGGTGGTGCGAAGTAAAAACGTGTGAAAGTAAAACCGTACTAAAGATTGTTGTTAGTAGGGCTGCACGGTTTGAAAGACGTCTCATTGCTATTTTTTGAGACAACCAATGCGATTCCTATTCTATTCGAGATTTCTGTCATTTCTGCTGTTCACATAAACGCACAAGAAGCAGGAATGTGCGCTTTGTTTTCAACAGCTGTAGTTTCCTGTGCTCTGGCAATGCTTTAACAGTACATGGGTTCACAGATGTTGAAAAAAAAGTAGCGGCTTATAGTCCAGCCAGTACTCTAGATTAGACTGAACCTTTTGCATTAGCAGTGAAGAAGTGAGAAGAGAAAATTCAACCTTTTTTCAGCTCTTCTTAGGCTTTGATCACTGAAAATGTCAAATACGGGCTGTTTCAAAGCTCTAAACACAGGGATAGGCAGATATATACCATATTCAACCATGTAGTATATATACAGTCTTTGCGGACATTAACTTTTTGTTCAGATTGTGCTTAACCGTGCAGCCCTAATAGTTTCAAAGTACTTTTTTACTTTCACTGCATTTGAGAGCGTACACTATCTTTTTTTTATTTCACACCTAAACGAACCAGGAAACCACATAGACACTACAAAACACACCGGTGAAATTGCTGCCGTCTACACTCTCATCAACACACAACGTAAACGCTCTCAAATGTGTGAAATACGTTTACTTCCTCGTCTTGAAGAAGAAAAAAAAACACATTGAATGGGTTTTTTGCTACTCCAACGCTTGTATATTTTGTTACAGATTTGTGGACAAAATAAGTTGTAGCAAAAGTGTGTGTGCTGAAGGAGACGAGCCTCATACTTTGGCGCCTAATCTGCACAAAAAGTGAGTACGGGGGGAACTTGTGACGCTTGCTTCGCTGTCGTGTGCGTTGTGTAAAAATGAGCCCCGCCCTCGGCCCGCATCGGACCGACTGTGACGTTAAACAGTTGCAGCTCAAGTCCTAATCTAAGAACCATGTCCTGTTCGATCGAATCCCGCCGGTGGTGGCTTGTGCTGTATTGTTTTTTTTATTTTAAAAGTGTCGGTATAGTTGGGAATGACCACTGTTGCTTTAAATGTTTCTTTGCATCTGGGAGGGGAGTGTATCCAACGGTTTTGTGTCCAATCAGCCATTGAAATTGAAATTGTGAATGAATGTCATGATTTAATCCCACTGTTGTGATGGTTTTGAACTGTTTTAATTGAGGAACGCAATTGACAAGAGAGAGGAAAATTGTGCATAAATCTCAAAGGCATTGGTTTTATATGGAACCAGTAAACAAATTCAAGATACCGTACTTGCTGGAGAGTGAGCCACAATTTTTGTATGAACTGCGGCCTGAAGTGATGCAGCCAATGTTTGTATTCTTATTTTGTTAGACTGCTCTATCCGCTGTGGCTTACTTTTTCATTTCAATTCAAGAGTCAGAGCAGAGTCGGAGTCTAAATGAGTCCATACGGTTTTAGTTTAGCAGTTTAAACATTTGCAGCTTATATTTAGGTGCTGTATGTGAACAAAATGTACTTAAATTTAGAAAATGTAGCTGGTACAGTTTATATACTAATGTGCTCACTAGTCAAGCAAGTACTGTATCAAACCCTACTTAAGTCTCTGGAGTAAATGATTTTCCTCTGAGGTGGTGAATTGATTTACAACATGTTATTGAAGTCTTTTTTTTTTTCATGTTAAACTGTTTTTTTTTTTTTTTATATATATATATCAAAATCTCCGTGGATTTGAACCCAGGCAAATAACTTGAATGGAGTGGAGTGGAGGTGGTGCAGCTGGAGCGGTCCGTACGAGCTGCAGCAGAGATACTACTGCTGTGGTAGTTTCCCCACGCGCGCGATAACCAAATATCAGATGCACAAATTTAGTAACACTAGTTTTGCACAAAATGTCAAGGTTCATGCATCTCCAAGGCTCCACTTAAGTTTCCACAGTCAAAGTCATTTCAATCTAAAGAAACACTAAAATGTCTGCTTGAAATATACTGCTACTTTGTATTTTGAACTTGTTTTGTAATATGCCAGCTCACCTCCAGGTGGCAGCCTCTGCGTAAACTGTTGAACTGATCAGTTTTCATGAAAGAAATGTGTGTTGATAATTGAGCAGTTTGAAGTGTTTCTTTGTAAACGACTAAACATTAATTTTCTAATCACAAATATTTGCCTCCAGACTATTTGAAGTGCCCAGGCTGAAACACACTTCACTAAACTGCAGTATATATGTATACTTTTGAATTTCCTATACAGTATACAATCTGAATTTACAATTATTGAGAAATTGGGTCACATCTTGTTTATAATCGTACTTCCTGGTTGCAAACGAGAACCACAACTAAAGTAAAAATATGACTTATCAAGTAGAACCATGACACTTACCACCCCCCATTAAACATCAAAACCCACTACATCCTACCCAAAATTATCAACCATAAACCCTTTACTCTTCCCACCAAACCCCACCCTCTCATAACATATTCTCACAACACCCACCAACAAAATAACCCTAAATCAAACTCAAAACCTCTCCATACCAATTATATACACCTAACCACAACTAACAACCATCAACACCCCACCATATCCCCCCACCTAAACACAATCCCCAACCCCCTAATTAACCCCCCCCTCCAAATAAAAAAATCACTATTCTTCCATCCCCAAACGACCTCCTTACTAATACCCATACATACACCATCCACCATCACAATAACTATACATCCAAATCAACTCCCAAATACCAACAACAACTTCTATATCCATCACCTTACCCCATATCCCCTTCCATCCCTCCTCCACCCTCCAACATATCTTCTACTCTTCATATTCAAACTCCAAAAAATTAATCCTCAAAAATTCTTTATCTATATATCCTATCCCCCTCACTACCCCCTCCTTTCCCACCCATCCCCATACTACCATCTCTACACTCCCAAATCATCCCCAAACTTAATATATCCCATAAAAATACACCCATAAAAATATTTACACATCCAGTATAGATATAACCTATAAATACTCACCCCTCCACAACAAACCACTAGAACATCCTATAAAAATAACCACTTCACTATAAAATCATCAAAATTTATCACCTCAAACCCCCACCCTCATACTCACTAACATGCCTCCCCCCATGACCCACTACTGAATTCTACATCTACCTTCTAAACCCCCGCAAAACACTACGCCACACTCAGACACACATATAACCACCCCACCATACTCCCATCTTCAACCACCCACACATCTACCACCTTACCCAAATCTGTCACACACCCATACACCCAACTACAATATCATCAACATACACAATCTACCACACCACTCATCCCACTATACCTACACCCACAACCCCCAACCTTCAACACATACTCAATACCCCAAGCCCTGCCTACAAACCTAAACACCCACCACCCCACACAACACAAATAACTCCCTATCCTCCACCCATATAACAATACAACAAAACACTACCCAAACCTACTATTGACCCCCACTAACCACCACTATCCCCTCTCACCCACTCCACCCCCCCCCCCATCACACAATCAATTCTCTCACCTCAAACCCAGCTCCCATATTAACACAAACAACACACAACTCAATCCCCACCCCACGCCCCCACCAACCCCAGCACTCACCCGTATAACTCTATCATTATCAATAACCTATCAACTATAGTGACACACTCCTTGTAATTCATAGTGACACCCACTCCATATCAAATCACACCCCAACTCCCCACACACAATCAATACCCCACATCCACCCACCCCCCCCACCCACACCCTACTCATCCACACCACACCCCCCACACCAACCCAACACCCCCAACCCCCCAACACCACCCAACCCACCCCAACCCCCCCCCACCCACCCCCCCCAACTCCACCCCCCAACACACCCCCCACACCCCCCACCCCCCCCCCCCCCCCCACCCCACCCCCCACACCATACACACAACCCACCATACAACCCTCATACACACACCTAACATACTCTATCCACCCTCCTCAACCGCCTCACCACCATCCACCCCAACTACTCCGCAACATTGTACAACCCTATCATTTCAATCCCCCACACAGACCCATTTACAGACTGACATGAACAATAATCCACACCCAATCCTAAAAAATAAGAAGTCTCTCTCACACTCCCACCCCCCACCCCCCCCTAACCACCCTACCCTTACACCTATATCCCCCACCTCACCCACTCTTACCCACCATACCCACCCTTACCCCCCACCTCATCTCACCATACCCACCCCCTAACCCCACCCTTACCACCTGACCTGCACCTAACTCAGTACTCACCTAATGTACATCTACCCACTCGTCACCACTCTACCCCATCTGTAATACTAGAGTCCGACTACCCCTATACCACCTACATCTTACACTCTCACCATACACAATTCCCCACCTACACTACCTCACCTAACACCATAACTACCCCTCATCCCCACCTACACCACCTCAGACACCTACCAAAACCCACCATCCTCCCTCACCTAATCCCAATCCCCCGCATCTCCAAATCCACCTCCCTGATCCCCGCCCCCCCCCCTCCTCCCATCCACTCATACACCTACCTACACCCTCATACATCCCCTACAACATCCCCATAGTAACTCCATAATCAACTCCCACAACCCCCCCCAAAAATACACGAATCAGAATGTACACTCCCATATCCCGCCTAACACTCCCCCCCCCCCCTCCCCTTCCCATCAACCTACACTCCACCCACACGCCTAATATGAATCAAATCCACCTCCCATCCAACCCTACTCATATCACCATCCCACCCCCCCCCCTACCCCCCCCCCCCCACCCCCCCCCCACCCCCCTCATACCCCCAATACCCTCTTACCACCAATACCCACCCATCCCCCAACCAACCCCCACATCCCCCCAAAACACACAACCCCCCCACACCACAACCCCCCCAACAACCCCAATCACTCCCCCACTATAACCCCCCATATCAGCCCCAATATCCACCCCAAGACACTCCATACAAAATCACCCATCCCCAGCCAAACACCCCCAGACAGACGCAAGACCAGAATACCAGAATCTATACATACAAGAATACATAATACATAGACTACCTAGAACTCTTCCTACCCACACATTTCCCATCTACCCTCCCCACCCACCCCCTCCGTCACCTGATATACCGCCTTATCCCCATACACTCTACCCACCCCCCCCCCCCAATACCTACCCCCAAACTCCTCCACTCCCTCCGCCTAACATTCAACACTATACCTCTATCCCCTTCCTCCTCCCTCCATCAAAACCCTACCCAAACCACACCACCCCCACAATCCTGAATCAGTCAACACTAATCTCCCATAATACTACACACACCGCATCACTCCCTACATACATCCACCTCACAAAACAACAAAAACTCCACCTAACCACTCCACATAACACTATACAATAAAACCCAACTACATCCCTCCATTCCTACCCCCCCCTCCCATCCCATATTTCCCTCTCCAATCCATTCTGTCTACATTCTTCTCATCTCTCTCCCCCTTGTAATGACACCACACCTCTACTACCCATTAACACACCACACTACATAATAACTACACCACACTTAATGTAACTCCTACAAACACGTATCCCTACTGTACACATTACGTTATCACACCCACACCCCCTCCCACCCACACCCCTAAAACACACATAAACTTCCCTTCTACTCATATGTCCATGTAATCTGTACTCTCTCCCCTCACTACTTCCCTAATTATCACTATCTCCTCACTCACAATATCCCATAACTCCTCCTAAGTCAAACTCCAAATCTCATCAATCTATCAAACCAACTCCCCACCCCCTATTACCACAAACACAAAACAATACAACACAGACGCGACACCTACTAATCCATACCCCCACACACTCCCACCCCCCCACCCTCCACTCTCACTCGACCAGACCAACCCCTCTCAGTCCCCCACCCCCACATCCCCTCAACTTCACTGACCTAGTTCTAAATCCTCACTATTAAATCATTATATCTGATCCACCCCACCCCATCTCATTATTCATAGTCCAATAAATCTCACTCCTCTCACCACATCCACCATTGTCACCCCTACTGTCACCCATACTCACCCCTCCCCCCCACGCCCCCCACATACACCACTTACACTTACATTCTCTAAAGAACAAAAAACCCCCCCCCCCCCCCCCACCCCCCCCCTCCCCTCCCCCCCAAGACAAACACCACCCTAATTCTACATTATCACAATATCACCTCTATCTCTACCCCTACCAAAACAAACTTCAAACACAAAAAACTAACCCACCCCCGCATCATTACAGACAAATATCTCTCCGTAACCCTCTCCTAAATCATACAAATGTCCCTTCACATCCAATTCCATCCCCACCTCCTCTATTATCCCCCCCGTTTTCTATTGTAACATACCTCCTATACCTATAGATCCGTACCCCCTCTCTACATAGACTACACACCATACACATACCCTCACCCACATCAAAACTACACCATAAATCCCCAATTCTCCTTATCAATGTCTCTGTCACTCACCCGATATAACATACCTACCCCAGAACTATCTCACTACCAAACCCCTTAATATGACACCACGCCTACAACGTGATGACACAACAACTACACCAGCACCCTCGTGTTACATCTAAAACACACCTGTGCTTGATTCCTGTCTCGCTCACACTCTCTCGCTCAACCCCACTCTCTCTAAACCCCACACATGCGCTCTCTCCTACCACTCGCGCTCTCACTCTCTCACCACTCGCTATTTCAAACTCTCTCTCATCTCAACGCTCACACCTCATAAAGACCTAAAAATATACTCATGTATGTTGTACGTGTGTCCACCACCCCCCCCCTCCCCCCTCACCTCCAACACACTCCACCACAAATCCCTCCCTATCCTCCACCTCAATAAGAAATAGTCTCACCATTATCCATCATCTCATACTCCAAGTCACCATGTCTTCATATAATCACAATATTGAACACAGACACATGAATATCATAACACATACTATAATTATCACACTGCCCCTACTATTTTACCACAACCACCTCCCAGATAACTGAAAAATATCCTTACACATAATAATACCACATTAGTCAACATACCCAACCCCACATAACCCATTACATACAAATTCAAACATCTAAACTTAAAACACCCCATATACACATACCAAGAAAAAGGTGAAACACAAACTCATCATCAGTAACTCCACAACTTCACAACACGCACAAGAAATCTTAACCCCACCCCACTCCCTCAAAACCCCAGATCCAGAGACACCTACAATTCAATTCAAACTAATCACGTATAACAACTCGTCACCCACATAATATCTCAACATTCTAACCCTCTTTAAACACTCTTGCTCTCATAATCCCAGATCCACCATACCTACATATAGTGTCACCCTGCTGCTGCACCTCCTACAGTAATGTGACTACTAGTACACCCACCATGTTACCACTACTACCCTAACTACCTATAATCCCTTCAACTCTGCCCTCACCACACCTTCCCCCTCTCCCCCCTACGCGCACACATACCCCCTTTTCATAAATCCATATGTCCTGACTGTCCATATCCCACATCATTCCTTAAGTCTCTACCATCAATCAATGCCCTGAACAATGCCTAATTCATTATCTATTGATATAATATCCACTTCTACTGTCATCTCTCACTCCCACCTATCTACCCCCTTTTCCTCTCCACTACACTCTCTTCTCCCCACTCGCACACCACCATACATCCCTACTACCCTACTCCCATTCTACCTCTCTTCCGTCAACACATACACCTCTTAATCCTAATAGTAAACACCACTACTCATCCTCATCCTCACCTATAATGTGTGTACACTCACCCTTCAACTCCACTGCTCCCTTAACCTATTTGACATCCAATTGATCTATCGCCACTTCCAGCTTCATATTACTACCCCACCCCCACCAACATTCCCACATATCCACCCACACAGTCTCATCACATCACTACGTACAACCACATGATATGAATTTACATTTAAGTCTTCACACCCAAATATCCCACCATCCCACATATTTACATTTCTATTTTCACTAAATATCCCTCTATCTGACCTACAATCTTCTCCATACCTACACTAAGCTGTGTGTTCTCACATCTGATACAGAATACCCAACCCCTAGTCCCCACCTACACTCAACCCCACACCTACCTCACACTTCACCCTAAATGTCGTTCACCCCTTTTAATCACACCACCTCCCCACAACTCCCTCAGCATTGTCTTCAAAAATTACACTGATCCTTCCACCACCATGACACACATCTCCTCCACTCTCATTATTGTCCCCACGCTCTCTCCAGCCCGCTCTCTAACAGCCAACTCCACCACCTCAATAAGTACCCACACCTCTCACTCTCCCTACATCTCTTCACACCTACCAACTAATATCACAACACTCCTACTCCCAACTCTGACTCTCTTACTTGATCGTCTAATACACACTCATCAAAACAGCACCAATCAAGCTACCCTCCTACTCTTTACCACCCCCTAGACATTCAAATAACAGCAATACCCCTAAATACACAATCATACAAACATCAACAGACTACAACAAATCCCCCCTCGCCCCAACTCCATCCCTACCACCCCACTACCCCAACACTTCTCCCATAAACCCATCCCACCCCCCACACCTTCATTCCCAAACAACACCCCCCACTCTTTTCACAATCACCATCCACAATCAAATCCATACAAACCTCATCCCCTTTCCTATGTCCACCCCCCCCCCCCCCCCCCCCCCCTAAAATCCAAACCCACAATATATATACAGCCAACCCAACAATTCCCTGCATCACATCAGGATATAGAACATAACTAACACATATGCCCTGTCCACAGACCTCCACACTTCTCCTCGTTTAATGCAAGTCCGGTAGTCTCGCGCAACTCTTCGACTTCGTACTCGAGAATCTCCCTCTTGTATATGACACCCAGACCCGCCCCCTCTTTGAGACCCTCAAATAGCCCTACTAGAGACCCAAATTTTCTCCCTCACATTTAAACACTCTCTTGTTATCTAATGTGTCCCGCTTTCGCACAGTGTAATATCTCTGAAAACTGAGTCCCGTCCTGACCCTAGACTTCAACACCTCACTCCACCCTCCCCCACTCAATCTCGCCGTATACTCTAACTGCCCAATGTACCCCTCTACTTTCACCACACTTTCACAATACACTCCCCTCCGTAGATGGACTACTCAAATAGTGTTGGTATTATGTGCCTCTCTCTCTCCTATTACACCGCAGCATGTGTCGCCAAAAGCTCAACCTTATTATAACATAGAAACCCCCCACTCGCGCGGCTCCCACTTTCACCAATTCACTTTGCACATTCCAATCAACCTATAATCTGTCTCTCTTTTGTTTCCTGTCTTATTGTTAATCCGACACTAACTTTTTCAAAATTGTAAAAACCTTCAATTTAACACATAATACCAATAAGTATCAAATCAACCCACAACATAATCATTAGTCCTTTACATTATAACATATATAGACAATATACTCTTAAAATACAATATCATTATACGCAGTTCACAAGTTGTCACTTGGCCGCTACGATTTCCGTCACGCTCGTACATATGACGACCATTCGAGTCTCTTATTTTAGAAAGCGTCGTGATCTTGCTGCTGCTCATAATAAATCGTCCGCTAATGCCGTTCACCCACTCATAAAAGATAAGAGTCTAGCAGAGCCCGGATCACCTCGCAATTGAAACGAAAGCAAGACAAAACAAAAAACAAAGTGCTCTTCGATTTGATTCTACATACATTCATAAGTCGCTCACCTTTGTACGACTCTCTCAAACGAAGAAAGCTTCAAACGTAATTAACATAAGACGCTCGTGTTCCTAGAAATCTGAAGCTCTTGCCTTCTCA